GACTGGGAATTGAACTGGTGACCTTTGGGTTCTTGGGATGACGCCCAACCAAATGAGCCACACCAGTCAGAGCCATGTTTATTGATCTTAGGGGACAGGGAGGCAGGGAGAGAGAGACATCAGTGTGAGAGAGAAGCGTTGATCATTTGCCCCTCATACATGCTCCAGTGGGGGACCGAACCGGCAGCCAACCCTTTGGGGGACAGGCCAACGCTCCAACTGAGGGAGCCACCCAGCCAGGGCTGTATTTCCTCTTAACTGAGCTTTGGTAGTTAGTTCAGGTCTTTAAGAAACATCTATTTCATCGAAGTTGTAACATTTACTGCCAACAAATTGCTCATGATATTCCCACGTCATCCTTTAGTATTTGTAGGATCTGCGTTTACGTCACATCTCTCATTCCTGACGTGGGCAGTGTGTGCCTTGTCTGTTTTCTCTAACCGATCTAGCTAGAGTTTCATCAGTTTTATTGCTTTCTCAAAGAACCTGGCTTCATTGATTTTTTTTCTATTTCATTGATTCCTCCTCTAATCTTTATTATTTTCTGTCTCCTTTTAGTTTTTTAAGGTAGCAGTACAAGTCATTGATTTGACTTTTTCTTTTTCTAACAATGTTTTTTAAAGATGTTACTAGTTGAGAGAGAGAGAGAGATTGGTTTGTTGTCTTCCTTATTTAGGCATTCATTGGCTGATTCTTGTATGTACCCCAACTGGAGATCGAACCTGCTACCTTGGCATGTTGGGACAACGCTCTAATGAACTGAGCTACATGGGTAGTAGGGACTTTTTTCTAACATAGGTATTTAGTGCTGTACCTCTAAGACCTGTTTTATATTTATTCCACAAATTTTGACATGCTTTGCTTACACTCAATTCAAAATATTTTCTTTTACTTTTGATTCATTTTGGGACCTGTGTGTATTAATAATTTCCAAATATTGGAGATTTTTCAGCTACATTTTCACTGATTTCTAATTTGATTCCACTGTGGCCAGAAAACATACTCTATGATTTGAATCTGTTGAGATTTGTTTTATGGCCACAAACATAGTTATTCTTGGCATGTGTTCTTTGTGTACTAGGAAAGAATTGTATTCTACTATTGTTGGGTATTCTATAAATATCGAGGTCAAACTGGTTAATTGTGTTGTTTAAGTCCTCTGTGACTGCCGACTTGCTATTTACTCTACCAATTACTGAGAAAGGGGTGCTGGAGTATCCTACTATAATTAAGGATTGTCTGTGTCTCACTGATTCCACCAATTTTTGTTTCACGTATTTTGAAGCTCTGCTGTTTTTAAATAGGACGTGAGAAATCTAGGGGAGGTTTGGGGGCATTTAAGAACCCAAGTTATGGATACAATGGACCTCAGGATTATGTCATTCTGGAGTACAGGGAGCACCTGGCCCACTTGCGCGCGCTCACTAGTGATTTATCTTCAGGTGCCGCAGCCCAGAGACTAACTGCTCCACCTGGTGTCCGACCTGCGGCCCCTGGGCCGCACACAGCCCAGCGAGGCTGTGAATGCAGCCAACACAAAATCATCAATTTGCTTAAAACTGGGAGATTTGTTTGTGATTACGTGTCACGTGCATTTAATGTGTGGCCCAAGATGACTCCTCTTCCTCTAGTGTGGTACACAGATGCCAAAAGGTTGGACACCCCTGGCAGGCTGTGGAATCTATTTTAATTATAGTACAGTCATAATAAAGTATCAAAAGAATGATCAAATATAGCCCTGGCTGGTGTAGCTCAGTGGATCGAGCACGGGCCTGTGAAGCAAAGGGTCACCGGTTCGAATCCTGGTCGGAGCACATGCCTGGGTTTCCGGCCGGGTCTCCAGTGGGGGGCACATGAGAGGCAACCACACGCTGATGTTTCTCTCCCACTTTGTCCTTCCCTTCCCCTCTCTCTAAAAATAAATAAAATATTAAAAAAAAGAATTCATCAAATAAGTTGAGTCATATGGAGCTGTTGACATTAGCCTTTGTTTGACCGACAAAAATGGTAATTTCTCATGAAGCAAAGATGTCTGTTCCTTACGGTATTGTCCGGAGTAGTGAAACACTGGGAGCTAACCCCAAGTTTTTCCTCACAGCATTGTTTAGAACAGAACAGTGACAAAATCTAAATGTTAAATAATCATGCTGCATCCATGTTGTGAAATTAGAACTGTTTTGGGAGATTATTCAGTAACTCACTCCCTTTGTGTCCTCATCCAGTTTTAGGACAATAAATCCCACCTATAAATGCTTGCAACTTCCCAGTTTATATCTAAGTCCAATTGCTCACAAAGTGCAGACACACTCAGTTGCCTTTGCACGGTTTCCACTTGGATATCCAATCAATGTATGAAATTTAACACACCCAAAACCGAACACTTGATCTATCCCCAAAGCCTCCCGACATCACTACTCACCTCGGTTCACAGAAATTCTAGCTTCAGGCTTCCGGTTGTTGGGGTCACAATCCTGGGAGCCATTCTTGGTTCTTCTTTCACTCACACCTCACCTTCACTCCAGTAGGAAATTCTCTGGCTTTTGCTCCAACATATACCCACAACCCAGCGCTCTTCCACCCCCTTACTGCTAGCACGTGGTCTTCTCTCCCCAAGATGGCAAAAGCCTCCTAACCTTTAGCAACCTCACTTAATATTTAAAATTAAAGTCAGTATTTTAAAAGGCAGTGATGAAAACTCTATATATCCGGACCAAGTTCAAAGGAACATGACAATGTCTGCTCTGAGGCACTGACTCATGAAGTTCGGACACGTTTGTTCGGACATAAGAGTTACTCCACCTCCTTACCTTTTCCTCCTGCATTTTCCTACTCATCTCCTCCGCTTACTCCTCAGTGGAATACGAGGAACTAAGCTGTTGGGTGGTTATCGATTTACTGCCTCTCTACTCCAGATCTACCCTGGATCACCAGCTCTGCAACAAGGAGCTAGACCCTCTCGTAAACGTTTCTCCTTTGCCAGCTGGCACAACGGTCAGTCAGGTACAGTGGAGAAACTCTGGAGGAGGTCTCTTCTCTGGGTTCAGCTTTGCTCCCCTCTGCAGGGTCCTGCAAAGTGCAGCGCCTCGTTCCCATGCTCCTCGGGCCAGGAGTGCAGCATGTCCGTAACTTCTTGCCATCCAGTGGGCAATCGTAACCGCTCAAATAAAGCCTGGCTCTCAGCCTCAGGAGGAGGGAAGTCCTCCCTTTGTCGTGACTCAGCCCTGGGGTTAGTGGCTGCTTCCCATTTGGGAAGCTATTCTGTACTCTATGCTATTCTTGTACTCTTTTAGTGTTCTTTTTATCACTTATTAGCAAATCCTCCATTATTCCATTTTTTTTTTATAGTTTGTGATAGTTAATTAAAAAATATTTATTTTTAGAGAAAGGGGAAGGGAGAAAGACAGGGAGAGACACATTGATGTACAAGAGATACAATGATCGATTACCTCTCGCATGTCCCCAGCTGGGGACCTGGCCTGCACCCCAGGCATATGCCCTGACTGGGAATCAAACCAGTAACCTTTCGGTTCACCGACTGGCGCTGAAGCCACTCAGCCACACCAGCCAGGGCTGTGATGGTTAGTGTCCACTTGGCTGGGTCATGGTGTCTATATTTGGTAAAACATTATTCTGGATGTTTTTATAAAGATATTTCTTTTTCTTTTTAAATGAGGTTAACACTACACCAGTGAACATTAAGTAAAGCAGATTACCCTCCATAATGTGGGGGCATCATCCAATCAGTTGAAGGCCTTGATAAAGCAAAGACTGAGTTTCTCTGAGCAAGAAATTCTGCTAGCAGATTGCCTTTGAATTTGAACTGCATCTCTTCCCTGGGTCTCCAGCCTGCCCACCATGTGGATTTTCGATTACTAAGCTTCTATAATTACTTGAGCCAATTACTTAAAATGAATTTGTCTATATTTGTATGTATATACTATTGGTTGTTTCTCTGGAAAAGTCTTAATACACAATTCTTTACATTAGAGTACTCCTGTTCAAAATGCATCGGTTTCTGTCTCTTGATTGGATCCCGACCAATATACCCTTGGTCTCCCCTGAACTACCGATTCATATGTGCAACTCGCTACTCAGCATCTCTACTTGGATGTGCAAAAGGCACTCCAAACTTGTGTCTGAAAGCTCTTCATATTCCTCCTGCAAACTTATTTCTCCTATATTTCTTCCAATCTCAGCTAAGGGCAACTTCACTTTTCTATTTATTAATTTTGGGGGGTGGGAGGCGGAGAGTGAGAAACATCGGTCCGCTGCTCCGCTCATCCATGCAAACACTGGGTGCTTCTGGTGTGGGCCCCGACCAGGGTAGGCCCTGCAGCCTCGGTGTAGGGGACCATGCTCCAACCAACTGAAGTCCCTGGCCAGGGCAAGACAACTTCATTTTCAGTGAGACAGTCCCTACATAACACACTTATAACTGCAGTCCAGCTCCAAGGAGCCCCAACCATACCTTCAATCCCTGTTCTTTGCTTGTTATATTATTATACTACTATATGTACTACTTATTTACCATGTTTATTGTGTAACTCCTCCATGAGAATATAAACTCCGTGACAGCAGGCACTTGATGTAGTTGTATGTTTAAACTGATATATGCCCATAATCTAAAGCAATGCTTAACACATAGTGATAATCAATGAATCTTTGCCTTCTATTTTCACCACGGACTATAAGCTAATTATTTTTGAGTGTCTTGTTTAAAAAATCCTTCACTTTCCCAAGTTTATATTCTGTATTTTCTCACAAAAATTTTGTTTTGTCTTTTAAGTTTCAGTTAAACCGCTAAGAATTGGGTTTTGGTATGATGTGAACTGGAGACCCACGCCTGTATCAGTATCTACTTTTCACCCCTTCTGGATAACCAGCTGCCAGCTGGCTGTGCTTTTACCACTTAATGATCTTGGTTTTCTCTCTCTACTCTCTGACTTCACAGGCTCTGTTAAACAGTCAGTATTATGATTCTACAATAACGAAGCAAAACAAAGTATCAACCCCACAGTTTTATTGTAAAGAACAAAGCATGAAAAGTCAAATTTAAATGTACTCTAAAACCTGAAAAACCCACATCAGTGTCTCTCATATGTATGCTAAAGTGCTTGAAATCACAATACTCTTTAAGTTTTATATTATGTTCAGATGAGGAAAAAAATCCAGTTCTGATGCATTTTGTTAATAATATACAGGAAAACAATATAATTTAAATGCAGAAATGCTCATTTGTTAAAAAGATACACAGGGTACATTTATACATGGTTCAAGTATAACATAGAGGATGTTTTCTGTATGTTTAACACCTTCAGTTGATTGACAACAGGCATTCCTTCCCACACCTCTGTGTCAAGAAGATTCAGTGTCTGGGGTAAAGATGAGCCACACAGAATACATTCAGGTGACTGAGTCAAGTACAGTCCCTTCCCACATAACCCAAGGATACCCTGGATTCCTTCAAATGAGGAGGATTACTTTTTCCAAAGGAGGAGAGCGATTTTGGTATTTTTCACTCTGGTGTTCATTGCTCAGCGTCACGCCTTTCTGGAGTCGACTGTTACTTCGTCCTTGGAGGACGATCAGTTCTAGAAAGACATGAAGGGCGAGGTTCTCCTTGAGTTATTTTGAGCATACTCCATCGACACTCTCTTCAAAAAGCTTGGAAATCGGTTTGAATGAAGAGATGTAGAAATGCATTTAATAGGAATAAGGGGCCTAATAGTTTATTATTTGCTTCTGTCTCCTATTAAGCTAAATGGTAATGTGATGACTACTTAACCTAAGAACCAGGGACTTCAGAAGACAAAGATGACCCTGAAAGAGGATTCACTTTAAGAAAGCAACGAGGAGCAGAAGACTGTGTTCTCCATCAACGAAGGCGCTTTAACACTGAAACAGAAATAGCGAAGGTTCCGATTGTCCTTTCAACACGGTGAAAAGGATGGACTGTTTCTGTAAACCTCACAGAGAAAACACTCACAGTTCTCAAAATAAAAAATCTTCTGAAAAATCCTAATTCTTAGCAGAGAGCCGTTCATTATGAAGAGTTATACTCCCACTGCTGTCGAAATATTTCCCTGGGGATCTGAGGTCCCTGTCTGTTGCCTCATGTTTTGAAACATCTGGAGGTGTCAACCTTGACAACACACAAACTGTTATGCATCATCTCTACCCCTTTCACTTACATGTACATACAACAGCGATTTATTGCCAAAAAAGGAAATATAAGCAATTCAGTATCTCCCCCATATCACTCATTGAGTGGGACAGAAGTTCATGAAAATAATTTTTTAAAAAGCCACGGTAAAGTAAATACCACAGGGTTACAAAAGGTACAAAAATCTGTGAAACATTTAAAATGAATTTTAGAGGGAAATCGTAAACTTTTACAGGTTTTTTGTTACTTATGTGAAATTCTTGCCCCCAGTGGGAAGGAGGGCGGGGAGGGCGGGGAGGCCTTTTTTATTTTTTTTCCCTCGTAGCCTGTTTTCCGCCACCTGGAGCCTCACTTTTCTACACGACTGGACCCTGCGCCTGAGTCAATGTCAAGGTGCTGATGGGCCCTGGCAGGGCCCAGCTGTGGGGTCTCATGCAAAACGCCAACACTGCCGTGGGGGGTGACGCTGCTGTGCTGCAAAGGGTCAGGCTAGGAGTTTCAGGCCACTTGAAAAATGCCTAAGAAAAGGTTTTCAAGAAGTACTATTTTTGGCGATGTAATTTTAAAACGATTTCTTTTTAAGCCATTACTATGCAAAACTACTAATTACGGTCCCAGACATTCCTTCTCATTTATTTTGAGGGAAAAATGTCAATTACAAAATTGCTCTTTATTTACCTTTGAGGTGTGATGATAAAGCCATATACTAACTTTAAAAATAAACATAACAGAAAGGATACCTCTTAAAGGGACCGGCCCCTCCCAGAGTCGGCGTGGAAGGCTGTGCGCGTTTTTCTGTGGAATCCGCTGTCGCCCTGCTCACAGCCCTTGGGTGTTGGCCCAGAGACAGGCAGAAGCCACGTAAGAACTAAACCTCGTTTCTTTAAAATTGTGTCTCTTGTGTTACTCAAACTCTGCTTGAGTGTCCTTTTTATTCATCGGCTTGGATCCCAGGGGCTGCCGGCCTTTCCAGCAGCTCAGGAAGAGCTCCTCCCGGGCTCAGCTGCTTAGCACACTGCTGTCTTCACTGCACTGAGATGTACGGGTTCCCAGGGCGGCCACTTCAAGGGGCCTGGCCTGGTGGGGGGTGTGTCTCTCTCTCTGGACATCGGTGGCATCACCGTTACAGTTATACTACACAAAGTGGATAAAACTTTAGGGATAATAACTCTGTGGGCATTACCTTTTAAGGTCATGGTTTTATTCACAGACCCCCAAATCGAATTTTCTCCCAGTTTTTACTACTTGTGAATAATTTGTTAAAGTGAATATTAATCCTTGTAAGTGGTTATTAGGCAGGAACATCAACCCTTATTTCCTGCCTGTAGTGAATGCCTGAAGATCTGAGGGCAGAGGGCTACCCGGATGGATGGATGAGTGCTCTGGAGGCCGGTCCCACACGGCCTCGTGGAATAAAGCAACGTGACTCTAGGCTCTGTGTTGTCGCTGACCAGCTCTGGGAGTACTTGATCTCTCTAATCCTGAAGTGTTCCCACCTATAAAATGAGAAGGCGGGACGAGTCGGCTCAGTCTAACTAAGTCATGTCCCGGGTTGCCGGAGTGTGTCAGAAGCATGGCCTCATGGAAAAGGCAGTAAGAACAAATCGCTCGATTGGATCGTTCTCTGGTTCCCGATCACTGAACCACGGTAAGGGCCTGGTGCAAAACAGGCTTGTGACGCCTCCCATTGAAGAATTTCCATGTCTCTGAACAGCCACGCCACCAAAGACGTGCTTTAGCCTCAAGCAAACCCACCTCTGGTCCCCCAAGTCACCCAGAACCACCGCCTTAAACCCTTTCCATGGTTTCTAAATTCTTCAACCCCTTTCCCCCTCAAGAACTAAGTCGCGCATCAAAAGGAGGTGTCCCTTGGCTGGCCTGGCTGAAGAGTCAGATAAAGGGAGTGAGGTACTTGCTTCACGAGTTTCTTCCTCCAGGAAATCAGGGCAACACCACTGTTGGCTGGTGTTCCACCAGGGCCGACACCAACCAGGGCCCTCGGATCACACGAGGGTCCTGACAGGCCATGGCTTTGCATCTCGGCCACAACTGGGAATAAAACCCAAAGCTCTGCTGAGGCAATTTCACTGCTAACGATGTGCAAAAAGCCTAATTACAGGACCTCCTGTATGATGAAGACGTAAGGTAACTAGCTAACACCACATTTGTTTAACTTTCTCATACAACATCAAGCTGGAAAGTTACTCATAACATTTGGTCTTTGAAAACCGCTGCGTCTCGTTTCCCTCGCATTTTGCCGTCTGTGCCGTACTGGCTTTCACCTCCCGTGGGCCAGTCGTCTGACACTACTACCCCTGCTCACAAAGGAGCGTAAAGCTTGCCCCAAACGCCCAGAAAGGGCTTGTTCTTTCTCTCCCCTTCTGTTATTTGCATTATCTTGGTCAACAAATACTTTCACAAAAACATTCCAAGCCACACAAAGCCCTCCTCCTTCTCTGAAATTCCTTCCATTTCCTGAGAGGGGGATGGGCACGGGAGAGGGGAGGAGGCGTTGGGAACCAAACAAAGACGGGTTTATGGTTACTCTTCAGAGGTAAGGGACCACTGCAGGGTTTAGGTGGCCAAATAAAAAGTACAGAATCGCATTGCTGTTTGCAGTCGTTATGACTATGAGGCCAACACTTCGAAATTCACATCTGCCCAAAGTACCTCCAATAACAAGAATAAAAATGCAAAGAATGAAGTTAGTCTAGGCTAATCTTTCCGAACTGTAAAGAAGGTATAATCCCACAATTTAACACACTTCTCAGGGCTTTGTGTATTCTCTTTCCAGTTAAGCCAAACTCCTGGGGTTCAGTATTTTAAGTATTTGAATTATATCTTCATCTTGTGCCGATAAAAAATTTTTGGAAAAGTGACTCAAGTCATATGAATGAAACCATTTGCAACTTAAAAAATACAAGTGAGGACCGTCCCCGTACAGTAGGTAGAGCTGTTTACGTTCACATGCCAAGGGTCCGCCTCCAGGGTCCATGGCTTGGACCCAGCAATGCATTCTGGGTTCCTTTGTGATTCCAGGAGGAAAAAAGCCCGGCTGGGCTGCCCTCTATTCACATGTTTGCTGGCTTCTTCCTGACTAGCACCACTCTTCCCCCCAACTCCCAAAGCTTTTAAGCTACTTATTTTAAATCACAGGAATCTTCAATCTAAGAAAAGTATCTTATTAGAGTAATATAATTTCTTAAAGAAGATAGCATATTTACACACATCTAACACATGAAAATACTCTATCTGATACTAAATTCCTGGTTCAAACGAACTACAATACAGCATTTTGCCTTGTCTGTGGTGTGAGGACTGCTCGTGGGCGGGGGCAGGGTGCGCCGCCCCCTGCAGCGGCCCACTGCCTGTCAGACAAGTCCGAATGGGTCCCAGACGGGAGGTCAGGAGCAGGGGTCTGGACTGAGTGTCTAGCCAGCTGGGTTACACGTCCACTCCTTTGATGAGGGATCCTTCTAAGACTATGGTGAAGTCCTGAATGGTCTGCAGAATGCGGATGAGGGAGTTGACGGTCATGCGGTCCCGCAGGAGGGCACTCTCTTCATACATTCGGGTAATGGCAGGACACTCGGCTAACAGCGGAATCCACTGCGGGAGCAGGCGGTCCCTACAGGCCCAAACAGAAATAAGTCCTGAGTGCGGCTGGCAGCTGGCCCTGCTGCGGAACAAGGCACATACTGCAGCTTTCCACGGGAAGGTGGTGGCTTCCTCAGCAGAGAGGAAACCGAAGTCAAGGAGCTGGGCATTTACCGGTTACAAAGGTGCAGTAACAAGACAGTGTGAGCCAGTGGGAACACCCACCAAATTCTAAAAGCAGACCTGGGCAAACAGGCCATGGGAATTTCTGCACATTAAGGAAATTCTCTATTCGGATTTACCACTTTTAAAAAGAGGCAGAGTGAAACTGTGGACTTCCTTTCTTCTGGGGTGTTACTTAGGCATCTGTGGCAGGGACGCCAAACTCTACTAACCTTCCGGAAAGAAAGACTACAAATAGTAGGGACTTAATAGTAGGGATTAGCTTTAAAAAAACACAAAAAACAACTTACACAAATAACAAGGTAAGGAACAAAATCAAAGCAGAACGCTAAGTAGATTTTATAAACCAAAAGAGGGGTTGCGTTGGCCTAGTAAATCAGAACAGTGAAGATGTAAAAGATGATAAGGATGGTGTTCAAAAGGAACTTTAAGAGCACAGCTGAAACTGGGCCCCTTTTGTTAAGAAGAAATTTAGAACTCAGTTCTATAAACCAGTTGTTTCAGGAAGAGGACAAAAACCCCAGTCTTCAGTGTTTTTTGATTAAACTCTGACATTAACTGGCTGTCTCTAAGTACCAAAGATGTCCTTACTGAACATCCTTCGACATGCCTTCTACTGCAAAGACAACCGTAACAGACAACCTGCATCTCTCCTTGGGGCTCTACAGTTTAGAAGGAAACAAACAGTGTAGACACAACTTCCAAAGGTTTCTGTGTTTCATTTCTTACAATTCTGAGAGCCATTTTAAAATTAATGAGTTTATATAGCTCATATTTGTCATTTTGAAGAAATAAAGGGGTAGAAAATTGTCTTCAAGAGAAAACTATATAGCAAGAATTTCGCAATGTTACTAAATTCACTATGGTGGTGTATGTACACCACCAAGCCCTACACGTGTGCACAACTATCCACGAACCTGCCTGCCACCCATTGCTGGAACCAGGAGACTGGACCGGCTGAGCGCCTGGGCTCTGGAGTGAGACTCGGGGTGAATCTTGGCCTCACCTCTTTCTAGCTGTGTGACCTTGGGAAAGTTTGTTAACTTCTATGTGCTTCATCCATTTTCTATTTTCTCCTCTATACGGTGAGGATACTGGTTGCTATTTCAAGTAGTGGTGATGGCGAACCACTACTTGGTTTCATTATTTCACTGGATTCAGTAGGATAATGTGAAGTACTTAGCAGTCTTTACCCAACACATAGCAAGTACCCAATAAACGGCAGTCTGGTAATGAAACCTGGAAGGAAAGAAACCCCGGAGAAGCTGGGGGAAGGGCACGGTCTGGTTTAACCCTCTCTGGACTCTTGTTCAACACGTAAACAAAGACAGTGAAAGTCAAGAACTGGCTTTACCGTGTTCCGAGGCAAACTAAAATCTGGAATTTGCCGTCCTTCCCAATATTCCTGGGTGCAGTATTAATAGCATTTACATAGTGGCAGAACGTTTTGCAGGATGATTTTGGAATAAGGACATCATCTCCGCTGTCCAGGATCTGGTCAGTGGTTTCAAAATAAGCAACCGCTCTCTCTGGGGAAGGAAGTCGGAATCACATCAAAATACACATCAACACTTCATAATAGAAAGATTAATCACTAGGTTTATTTTTGAGACACTAATGCTGTTTTCTTTGTATCACAGCCAGTGCTGAAACCAAAATCATTACTTTGTCATGGGTTTCACAATGAATTCGAGGTCCCTGGTTCATGGTGGCATAATATGTTCCTGGGAGTTTAGTTTCTAATCTAGACTGAATTTTAGAAGGCTGGAAAATGTTTACTTCTCTTTAGAATAACTTTAAGAAATGATCATTGGGAAAAAAGAAGGAAAATAAAAACAGACTCCTCTGTTAAGGCTGGAACCTCGTAGGAGTCAAGCAGAGACACTGCCCCGTCCCAGCTCCCGGGAGGCAGGCCAACGCTCTGCAGCAACATCTCCGAAATGAAGTGGGATCAGTACCTCTGAGAAGGAGGGGTGTGCACATATAGAAAGCAGGAGCAATAGCCTGGGCCTTCCAGAAGGAAAAAATATCATTTCCAGGGTCCTAATCTGTCCATTTTCCTTCTTTCATACAAAAATTCTTTAAAAATATATTTTATTTATTTATCTTTAGAGGGAAAGGGAGGGAGAGAAATATCAATGTATGGTTGCCTCTCGTGCGTCCCCTGCTGGGAACTGGCCTGCAACCTAGGCATGTGCCCTGACTGGGAATCAAACCGCAATCCTTTGGTTCGCAGGCCCCGCGCTCAATCCACTGAGCTATGCCAGCTAGGGCCCCCAAAATTCTAAATTAGATGAAATCAACTACTTCATCTAGACCTTATTTACAAAACACAAGCGGTTAATCACCCCTTGAAAGAAACTGGAAATTCTAGGAGAACTGCATACCAAAGTAAAGAAGAGAGCTTAGCAAGCTAGAGCAGCACACTCCTGTGGACCTTTCTGTGATGATGGAAATGTCTCCATCTGTAAGGTCCAACTGGTAGCTACAGGCTGGGTGATGAGGGAAGCGAACTTTACATTTAAATGAAATCGGTGCAAGTTTAAATAGCCACATGTGGCCAGTGGCTGCCGTATCGGACAGCAGAGAGCGAGAGCCATGCTTCTGAAACATGTGGTACCCGAACCTTCCCAACAACCTCCTACCTCATTCAGGGTCACGACCCAGGTCCTCCCAGTGGAAGACTAGAAGGCTCTACCCAACACCCCGCTCCCCAAACAGCCTTTCTCTCACCCTCACTCTGCCCGGTCCCTGACGGCCCTGCTCCTCCACGAGGAGGCCAGGTGCACTCCCACCCGGGGCACGAGCCCGGCCCTGGCCACAGCCTGCGTGCTCTCCTTCCACACACTCCCACGGCTTACTCTTCGCTTCCTCACAGCCTCTGTTCAAAGGCCGCCTTGTCAACCGATAAGCCTCCAGCCACCCCATTAAAAGAGCCCTTGCCACTCCGTGTCCTCTCGCCATGTCTCACTTTTTCCAGGTATCAGCGATCCCCTTCTACCGTACTAGATAAACTGCACGTTTGTTCTGTTTTTGTGTATGATTTGTCCTCCCTGATTGACCACGGGAATTTGTGCTTTACCTTTTTTTAAAACAGATTTTATTTATTTTTAGAGAGGGGGGGAGGGAGGAGGAAGGGAGACAAACACTGACACTTGAGAGATACATCAATCGGTTGCCTCTTGTTTGCCCCCAGCTGGTGACCTGGCCCACAACCCAGGCATGTGCCCTGACTGGGAATCAAACCGGTGACCTTTCTGTTTGCAGGCTGGTGCTCAATCCACTGAGCCACACCAGCCAGGGCTTGTTTTGTTACATCTTGATAAGTATGTTAAACATCGAGAATAGTGTCTGGAATATGGTGGACAGTATAAATATTTGTTAACTAAATGAAATGCAAGGATGGTGATTATTTGATATTTATTTAAAAAAAAACAACAACCAACAACACAGTCCCTTATCACTAACCCTTGTTTGCTCAATGCCTGGGTTTTTGAGTTTTCTAAGAAGCATCTCCATGACCTTGTAACAACATCCATCTGCCGACACTCACCTATGAAGTCCCAGATGAAGACGTTCTTGTGGAAGATGCGGGCGGATTTGAACCCGTGGTGGAAAACTTGTTCGAGGGCCGCCACCAGGCCGTTCTCCCCACACAGCAGCACCGTGAGGCTTCCTCTCTGTGGGACACGACACACGGGGCCGGAAGTTACCCGCCGCGCCCGTGTTTAAGAAACGCGCTAGAGAAACGAGTGCTGAGGGGAGCCATGAAGCACGGCTCTGCAGCTATTAGAAGGCTTACAAGTGAAAACTAAAACACCCTGATTTGCCTTGCGTATCATGATTAAAAGTGGTTTCAAAACCCTACTGTCTAAGTTTTACAGCTCGTCATACCTCTTTTTCAGGTTTGTGAAAATGTTTCACAATGTTGTTCACGGCTTCTCCGATCCCTTCTTGGATCTGCCCAGCATTGGGTTCTGAAAAACAGTAAACAAGGGTTGAATCCTCACAAGAGGGAGATAAACCAAACAACTATGGGTTATCAGCTGCGTCCACCTACGCAGGCAGCACTCCAACACGCGGGCTGGCCTTGCCAGGGGCTCCAAAAACTTGCCTAGGGTCAGTTTGGCCAAGCGAGAGGCATCTTGGAAAAGAACACAATGAAAAAGAATCCAAGGGACCCCTAGATTTAAACCCCAGCCTTACCCCATTAATCTATAACCCTGGTCAAATGTTTCACTCCGAGTTTGACTTTCCTCAATCTAAAATAGGGGAAACACACACGTCACGCATGGGTCGCTGGGAAAACTGAATGAGATATTAGGTGTAAATCTCCCGGCACGGTGCCTATCAAAAGTGCTAGGGTAAAATAAGCTTTCTCAAAACAGCACTACCGCACGAAACCGAACTGATTCAGAAGCTGTACAATTGGATAGGATGAGGTGAAACCTATTTCTTAGTTTTAAATCAGCATAATTAAGGTATTGCACACAACAAATCCAACAACTTTAACTGTGTGATCTGGTTAGCTTTGATAGCGATGTGGCCATGTAACCACCACCCCACAATCCTAACACAGAAAACTCCCACCGCCCCACCCCAAAAAGCGCCCTGTGCCCCGAGTCAGCCAGTCCTGTTCCCCAGTTCTCCACTCTGGCAGCTGCTGATCTGCCTTCTACCACTATTACATTGCTTTTTAGAACTTAATCCAGAAGGAACCCTACAGTACCTAGTCCTCTGCATCTGGTTTCTCTCACTAAGCGGCACGTTTTTGTGATTCGCCCAGGCTCTAAGACGCATCAACAGTTTGCTCCCTTTTACCTACAGCTGGGAAGTACCCCCTTGAGCAGGTGTACCGCAATTTGTTTATCCATTCACCAGCTGTGGACAGTAGGGCTGTTTCCATTCTTTTTTCTTTTTAAACATCAGTGTGTGGTTGCCTCTAGTGCGCCCGGGACCTGGCCCACAACCCAGGCACGTGCCCTGACTGGGAATCAAACTGGCGACCCTTTGTTTTGCAGGCAGCACTCAATCCACAGCCACACCAGCCAGGGTGGGCTGTTTCCATTCTGACTACATGAATGAAACTGCTATGAACATCCAGTGCATGTCTCAGCGTAGATATCTGTATTCGTTCCTCTTGGGTAAATATCTAAGAGTAGGATTGTGGGGTCAAGTACATGGTAAATGCATGTATACCTTCATAAGAAACTGCCAAACTGCTTTTCCTTCCACACTCCCACGAGCAACGTGTGAGCACTCCACTGTGCTCTATCCACAGCCACACTCACTTCCCCAGTCTTTCACGTTTGATCTATTCTGGTGGGTACATTCTGTGCATTTTATTTCTGACTACAGAAAGGATTTATGGATCAGGGGAGTAATTTAAGAAAGAATAGGGGGGGGTTTATATAACATAATTTTACTAGTGAATATATCGCCACGTGTTAACAGGTGGACTGGGATTAAAACTAAGGAAATTGCTTTGTTAATAAACCAAGGACCTCTTAGGTACTTCTGTTATTCTTACAGTTACTGTCCACAGCTAAAACCAAACCAAGTCACTGATAAGCGTTTGTAAACTTCCACTAAATCACACCGCCTCTGCATTAGCTTTCTGTGGCTCCTGTGACAGAATGCCACAACCTTGGTGGCTTAAAACAATGGAAGTTTATTCTGCCCCAGTTCTGCAGGACAGAAGTCGGTGTGAGCAGGGCCGTGCCCCCTCCCGAGGCTCCACGGAAGAACATGCTCCTTGCCTCTTCAAGCCGGTGGCCGCCAGTGAGTGTGCTGAGGCTTCGGGCCGCATCACTCCGGTTTCTGCCTCGGTCCCTGCACTGTCTTCTCTGTGTCTGACTTACCGCTGCCTCTCTCTCATCAGAACACCTGTGAGGGCACTTAGGGCCCACCTGGATAATCCGGGATAATCTCTGTGTCTCAAAATCCTTAACTTAATCACACCTTTTTCCAATTAAGTAGTATTTACAGATTCTAGGGGTTAGGATCTGATATCCCAGGGAGACATTATTCAGCCTGCTAAAGCCCAACTTAGAATAAATTAGGAGTTTACTGAATTAGTAAAAATGGCCTGTGAACACAGTATCCCTACCCACAGAACTCACTCCTTTATAAATAGTGTCTTCTGTCATCACTTCTGTATGAAGCTGCGGGGGGGGGGGGAATTTTTAGAATCTCTCTTAGAATAAGGGGCTCCAGACAGCTAAATGTGGCCATCTAAGAGTATGTAACACAACACTGTCCTCATTCCTCTTTGAGGTTTCAGGCAAAATATTTATTCATATTTCCATAGCTTAATTGAAACAAAGCATGCAATTGCATTAAATTTTAACATCTAAATTCTTCAGGCTTTTCATTATTTGTAATGTCTTGCCTTATTTTCTTCTCCTCCCTCCCTTTCTAAAGTCCCTTCTCCCAAATTAATTTTTTCAGCTTTCTTCTTTTTTATTTTTAAAAGATTTTATTTATTTATTTTTAGACAGAAGGGAAGGGAGAAAAAGAGGGAGAGAAACATCAATGTGTGGTTGCCTCTTGCGCTGCCCCCCACTGGGGACCTGGCCCACAACCCAGGCATGTGCCCTGACTGGGAATCGAACTGGTGACCCTTTGGTTCACAGGCTGGTACTCAATCCACTAAGCCACCTCAGCCAGGGCAGCTTTCTTCTTTCTAACCTCCCTATTATAATTCATAAATGTGACAGCTTTCTGTGAAACGGCCGTATGACACCTGCAACATTTGAGACATGTTGAAAAATTAAAAACCCAACTACTTACTGGTGACTTTTCCTGTTAGTGAAGTGATGCTAAGTCTCCTGGCCGTGGTGGGGGACTTCTGCTGCGGGGGCGTCCGGCACTGCTTTACCGGGTCCTCGTCGGCTGCCGATGCCATCAGCTCTCCAATAAGGATCCTCTCCAGGCTTCCGTCATCAATGCCCTTCCCCAGCCACCGCCCACAGGGGAACCTAGCAGGACAAAACACACACACACACACACACACACACACACACACACACACACTTCAAATCACCACTGTTGTACTAGCTTTATTCAAAACTTTAAAAATAGCACCATGGGTAAAGTCCATCATTTTAGTGCCTGTGGGTTGTTTCTTTTAATCATGCAAAATTTCAAACACGGAAAAGTAGAAGAACAGTATAACCAACACCTGTATTCTTACCACCTAGATGTAACATTTTGCTATACGCTTCGTTTTTGTTGAAGTATTTTAAAGTTACACACACTAGGGCATTTTACATCTAAAACACTTCAGTATAAATCTCTCTAAATAATGAAGGCATTCTCTCTTATGCATCCTTTACATAACTATAGATTGTTATCACACTGAACCTAATTAAAATAATTTTATATCTTCTCATATCTGACATATTAAAGTTTTGTGCTTCATTCTAGAAGAATATTCTCAAGAGGCTATAAATTAATGTCAAACTTAAAAGCTGCAGAAGAGGAGAAGGTGCCCAGAGAGCAGTTTCAGCTCTAACCAGCTCAGTCTAAAAGAGCCTTCCTCTTACTGAACTTGTTTTAAGCTTCTCTTTTTTCTTTCTATCAGAGTTACAGCAATCTTTTTCAATACAATAAGCAACACTTGTGACCTGAGGATTAGCAGCAAACACAATTTGTTTATCTAAGTATTTGGGGGGTAATTTTGTAACACATAAACAAACCATTAAATAAAACCACCCCCACAACTAAACTAAGATACAGAAGGCAGTGGGAAAGCCTTAGAAAGAAGACAATTCTTAACCTTTTCTTGTTTGAAGAGTCTCAAAATAAGAATTCTGACCTCCCAAGGACATTTACTTACCTGTATGTATGTCCTGTGATTTCATTTCTGACCATGACACAATCCACTAGCCACTTGGCTAACAGCCCCGAGTTATCATGACCAATCTGCACCGTGGTCAGCTTCCCCAAGTTCTGGCACTGCAGGGACAGGACCACAGGTTACTCAGTACCCGACCCCATCCCACTGCCTCCCAGCTCCACCTAACTCAACTGCAGAGGACGCACTCTGCCTGACGTGTGCTCTGCTATGCCCCGGAGAAGCATATGTGCATCTGATGAGCGAGAGACAAGTGGACATTAGCTACCTAATGAGGGGACTGCACAGGTGCCAGACGAGAGAAGTGAACAGGTGGTAGAACACTGGGAAGGAACAACGATTTCTAACCGGGGAAGCAAGGAACATCGCACAGACAGTGACTTGTGCCTTAAAGCATGAGAAGAATTCCAAGAACCAGAAAAAGGATGCAATTTAGACTCAGTTACAAAGAAATCAGAAAAACAACTGCAGATATTAAAAATCACTGACAGTTATTTTTCTGTTTCTAATAAAATACTAAGGTGAAACTGACCTCAAACTTGATCTACTAGAGGTCTTTGAAGCTGTTAAAAAAGAGCATAGTTATGAACATCTTTCCTGGCAAGAAAGTGATAATAGAAATAGTAAAAATAAATGCTGACTAAATTCTGATAAAAGATCACAGACCCCAAGTGCCTATGGAAGGCTGTGAAGATCAGGGCCATGAGTGCTTAAGGCCCCTGACTTCTTTGCATCGTAGTTGAGAGGGCGCCATAGCAACTCAGGTGAGGGAGGAGGCACCTTAAACTAGTGGGGGTTGCGGAGAAGGAAAGAAGCAGGCGATATGAGACAGACTTTGGAAACAGCAATGATGGGACTTACAAAGCAGTTTATGTTCCCTACTTGGAAGTCCAAGAAAGGCTAAGGTGCGAGGTCACTGGGCAGAAAGGGCCCAAATGGAGTTCTGGGTGGAAGGTGCTCTTCCTAGGTGGCACGTAACACGCGAACAGGACATCTGGTTAGACCACTGCCTTCCCGGAGCAAGAGCAGGCACTGCCTTCCTCCCACGGGCCAGGGTCAACCTGCACGCCAGGTCAAACACACGGGAATGCTTCGCCAAGTGAGCTCGGAACTACAGCACTGACAGGCCTTTTTACAATACACTTCAGAAATGTCACCATGTGGTCTAAATGCCATAAGCATGGATGTCAGCTCTCCTGTCCTGGTGGCCGCGTCCAGGGAGCACTTTGCAGTAAGGAAGAGAACCACTGTGGGGGAAACGGTTCGCGCTAAGGCATTCGAATCACGGAAATCACGGAACGGGACCTGGAAGAGGCCCACCGGCACCATTACAAGTGGAAAAACAGAGCTTAACAATGAAAACGGTAACAAAAACACAAAATAAACTTGCGTGTTCATGACAAACTTTAGGAATACAATCGCAAAAATGGTTGTGCATGCCTGCACGTTCCTTTATATTATCCGACTTAAGGAAAAATGAAAACGAGCAACTGGAATCCTTGTGTAGAACTACACACGACCCTTTCTCCTAAGAAGGGTGTAAGCTGAACCCACCTCGAAAGTCATTTCGAGGAGGTTTTTGGGAATCTGCATCACTCCTGTGTCTCCCAGTTCTCCCGACACACAGACCCAGGGGTTCGACGTGATGATCGCATTGCTCAGCTTTTTGATGGGGATGATCACTGACCTATATGGAATCACTGGAAGAAAAATGCTGAAATTAGTAAAACATTACAATAAAATTCTCCTGATAACAAATCAGTATGAAGAACTCTGTTTGCTTTCATAGATAATTCACTTTTTATGGCCCATCGAGATGGACTTAGACAAAAAGATGAGATCACAAGCTCTCCCAGTCTAGAAAACTAGGGAGGCTGCATCTGTAAGCCCTAAGTCCCGGCACTTGTGGTGGTTTCCCAGCACATACATCACAGTGTGCAGGGCACGTGTGCACGGTGTGTGTGCCACCACAGCGATGTCCATCACCACCGCAGGTGTAAACAATCGCAGGCCTCAGCCCCAGAATACCTGAGGCACGGACACTAACGGTGCTATATAGCATTTTCCTCATCTCAACATTTTTATTGATTTTTACAGGACTGAGTACAAATGAGCAAAATTCCTGGATAAGTTTCATATGAAGAAGGGGTGGTGACTATCCCTTGGGGCTGAGGGTCTTAGGCAGTGCTCCAAAGCACTGTACTTACAAACTTTCCCATCCCAATTTTACAGCTCAGTATGCAAAGCCAAGAATAACAACGGCAGGCACCTCCATTCTAGACACAACTTGGAAAGCTGTTAAAGTGACTCATGAAGGAAGGGGCCCCAGGAAAAGAGTCAAGACTTTTTCTCTTCTCTCTGGGAAGAGAGCTATGTGAAACCGGTTCTCCTGAAGGCTCTTCAAAGGCACCACTAGATGTCACTGTGCGTCCACTGTCAAACGCAGAATCACAATGCAGTTAGGTATTACAACCCTCCCTCCATTTTCCCTGAAAAAGTGGGGATGGCTCAAACACAGTAGCAATTTTTCTCCTTGAGGGTCATTCGTTTTCCTTTTCAAAAAGCAGAGTAGAATATTTTTTTGTTGGTATTCTTGTGATTTCTGCTCACCTGGCCACAAGAGGGCATGTTAGAAGCCCTCCTTGAAAGCACTACAGGTAGGATGGAAACCTATACTGGACGAGGTACCCAGACACCGCCCCACAAAAGGGGCTGCAGTCCAGTGTGGAAACTTAGATGAGGAAAACAAAAGGGAAAAATGGTTCATTTCCCTAATTTCATGTAGACCACTGTCTTTATGTTGAGTGAATAACCTCCCTTTCTGCCCTTTTTTTTTTTTGGCTGAAGGAAAGGAAGATATCAGGAAACACTATACTTTCACACTATACGTTCATGGTTTAGTAATCACAAGAATCAAATGGTTTTGAAACTGAAAGCAGGAGAGGGCAGTGCAGGACGGTTTTAGGTGCCGCAGGCCTCTGTGGTTCCTTTCAGGGACAGGATGAGAAGAGCTGCAGGGGATGTCCCTTAGGGCAGCAGTTCTGCGCCTGCCCTGCGAAGGGCCCGCAGACGCACAACCGTGATTTCTTCAGGTATGAAAGTAATATGGACTTAAGCTCAGAGTGTGTCTGTTATGAAGCATCTCGATTCCTCAGACTGAGTTTCTTACACAAACAGAAACTGCAGATATAAAGAAGACCTTTCATTTATTTATTTATTTAATCTTTCTTATATATTTTTTCCATTACCATTCAGACCCCTATATCCCACTCCCCCCAGCAATCACCACCCTGCTATCCACGAGTCTTTTCTCCTTCTCGCTCATTCCCTGCCCCCCAACCTCCCTCCCACTGGCTGTCATCTGCTCTCCCTCTATGAGTCTGTCTCTGTTTTGCCTCGTTAGTTCAGTTTGTTCATTAGATTCCACCTATGAGTGAAATCATATGGTTTTCATCTTTCTCTGACTGGCTTATTTCACTTAGCATAATGTTCTCCAGGTCCATCTATACTGATAAGGAGAATCTTAGGAGTCCTATTTCTTCTCTTTCAAAACTGTATATGACATTTTAGCTTCTCATACATGCAATAAACTAATAGGCTAACAGCAGCTTGACAGATATTATGGGTTGGCCCAATAACCATTTCTACTCCAGTTTTCCTTGTCTGCCTGGACCAGAGACTGGAAAACACAAAACCTAGACAGTTCTGGCCTGTGAAGTGGTAGTGCTGTTCACTGTTATTTCTTGGAAAGTTACGATTTCTAGCACAGATTCTGACCTTTTCCTTGGCATTCCTTTGCTCTCCCCGCTCGAAGGTGGGCTGAGAAAAGCCACCTTGTGACCGTGAGGGTTGTCTAGGAGAGGGACAAAGAGTCTGCGTGCGCACTGCGGGCTGCCTACCTCAAGACTTCTTGTTATGTAAGAAAAATAAAACTACTAATTTGCTTAAAGCAGTGTTTTGCAAGCTTCTGAAACTTGCAGCTGAACACAACTCCAAACTGATACAAGTAAAAATTCTCTAAACTAAGGAAGGGGACCTACTGCTAATAAGAATTAGTAATGGGGAAGAGAATAAACCCTTTAATTTAACTAAGCCATCTGCAATCAGCATTCCTTCCTCTGTGGACCTACACTGTCCATCAAGATCCCAAAGCCTTTGTGACTCATCAGAGTTTACTGATGCTCAGTTAAAGCAGTTTATTTGTGTCACGTACTGAATCTTTGAATTTATGTGTTTGGATAAGATGTAAGAATACTGTTTAGTAAAGCATTCCTTTTCACATCCACCCCATTCTGCACTGCAGACTGAGTGCACTGGGAGGCAGACGCTGAGTCAGAAACCAGCCTGCAGAATGCTGCTTCTGGGATCTACCTGAGAGGAGGAGGCGAGCAGGCCTGGCTGACCAGAAGTTGAGCTGTGATGCTGTTGTAACAGAGAGCTCGGCAGATCCCCCGATGAGTTCTGCGCCAGCCCTCTGATCAGCCCCAGAGGCCAGCTGGCCCTGGCAGGAGGGCTCCCCTGGGTGAGGCACTCCCCACGGGGCTGGGGCTGAGGACTGTCTTTCAGCAGCTGGGGCTCAATCTTCACTCTTTAAGGGAGATGGGGTGGGGGTGGGGAGTGCCTAGCTCTCTATACTATGGTGTGGTGTCACTTTTAGAAATATGAACTCATATTTCATCAGTCACTGAGCAACTCTTCACTTAAGAGTCAGTTCTCCGGACTTACTGATCGTGGTGAACACACTGGTGAAGCAGAAGTAGTCCACAGCGTTGAGGGAGAGGAGATGGTAAAGGAACTGTTCTCTTTCTTCTTCGCAACGTAGGAAAGCATAGCGCTTATAAAGCTTCCTAGGAAAGAGCAGGACAAGCACAAAACGACAGTACAGTATGTTTTTCATTATGTCTTCCATTAAAAGTAAACACCTCCCCTTACACAAGCTGTGTACAAACTCTAACCTGGAAAGAACAGACAATTCCCAAAAGTGACCGTGTACAGAGCTGACATTTTTAACCTGGTCAGTACCAGAGGAAAAACACACTGCGGACGGCCTGGTAGGGAGGGACGAAGAGCCTGCGTCCACGATGGCGCCATGGACTGCCCGGCTCGAGACCTCTCGTTACGTAAGAAGAATTAAACTACGGTTTGTCAACTTACGCAGTTTGCTTTGTGAGCACACAGGTCACAGAAACAGAAATGCCTCAAGAGGCCATCCGTTACCTGGTGAGGGGTTGGTTGGAGAGCAACTGCTTGAGGTGCTGGGACAAGAGCTTCTTTTCCAGAGACAGTCTTATCCATGCCCGAGCTCGTCCAACATCAGTCTTGATCTCGCTCATGTTTTGAATATGCCTAAAAAACAGCAGCAACAGAAAAGATGTAAATCCTGAGAATGACCTTGAACTGGAAAAGAACGCAGGGTTACAGCACTCTGTTCAGGTAAGTTCTTTTATATTTAAAGGAAGCAACGAGTCGCACATGATTTACGCGTGCTCAGGCTCCACCTGGATCCCACGTTTAGCCCCACAGCAGAATCACCGAGACAACACAGGCAGACAGACAGGCTGCCTCCTGAGATAGAGCATTTTACAGCCATTTATTCTTGCAGGTTATGTCCTTATTTCAGCCTCATAGATACCTGTAAACTGTCACCTGGTTATTCCTGACTCTAAGGAAAATAAAATAAATGGGCTGAATATTCAACTTTTTATTAAAGATATCTGTTCTATAGTTTAATTTAGTATCCGCCACAACTTTAATCCACTCAATTATTTGCAAGCAGCCCTAACAACACATGGAAAATATGAAATCTTACTTTCTGCGGCATCAGAAGACAAGCTGTATCGCACTGATAAATTCAACATTTTAAAAATCTGAAATACTTGGAAAATTATGTGGCTACAAAAAAATACCGTATGGCCAAGCCCCTAATGAGTGTTAGACGTGGCGACCAGTGTTCCGTGCAGAAGTCGCTGCTTTCCCCTGAAGGACTGGCGGGAGGCAAGCCTAAGGGAGGGGTAACCGTAAATCCACCCCAGGGAGTCGCTGAAGTCTTTGTAATTGTGACCCGCCCTTTCCTCCCCTGATTTTTTTTTTTGTCTAAAATGACTCATCCTAGCTGTAATAAATACTGCAATAAAACCTTCTGTCTGCCGGTTCTAAGCATTCAGAATAAGGAACAGCCTTACTCTGCAAAAGGCACACATAATTCTCGTCCACCCTTCCTCTCTCCATTTCTCCTTCCCTTCCTCCCTCTCTCCCTCCCTCTCAGTCTTCAGATCTGAAGATTTAGGCCCTCACCCCTCAGTGCTGATTTACAAGCAAACACTCTTGAAAAACAAGATGTGAAGCAGTACAGCACATCACGCAGGCGCACTGAAGAGGTGGCATAAACACAAGTCAGAACGAGATTTACGACAGACTTGTTTTATTTTCCTTTTAAAGGGCCGATACCATTACTTATGGTCATGCACTGAGAGAGCTGGTGACAAGCAGGCCCCCCTTAGACCCTGGTGGCAGCGGTGAGGCACCTGGCAACCCACATGTGACCCCATCAAACAGCACTGGCTGCCTGTCAGCCCTGTGGACAGCCCGGGACTGCCAGGCCGGGGCTGACGTGACCCGGGAACACCAAGTGGATTCAAAGTGAATTCACTGAAAACGAATCTACATGAGGGTTAAGCACTTATGTTGTACAGTTTTTCCCTATGTGTCCTTCCTATTCTGAAACAGTAAAGTCTACTGAAACCAGTTTTATCAGCTGATCTTAAACAAGTACCTGGACACGCGACAGGAGGTGAAGAATGACAAAGTGGAAAACAACTGTAATTTGAAAAACGATCACGTTTAAGGAAAATGGGAAGCACTGGAGTTGAATGATTGAAACCTACTTTATTCAGGTGGTGGTCGGCATTCCCACCATAAAAACACTTGTGCGCATTTTCTTCGGGAGGAGGCAGGGGTTTGGGAGATGAAGGGACCAGACTCTCCTCCTCAAGCCCTTCACGTTCACTGTCAGCGGGGAAACTACTCTGCCTAAAGTACTGCCTCCTTAATGAAATTCCTTTGTTCCAGATCCCTGTGAAGCTCACAGGATACAGGCTGAACTGCTCACTCCTCCTCGGTCTCCGTATTTCTTGCTACTGAAAACGGTACCTTCTAGGCAGTTGGCTTGTGAGACTGCATTCCATTACTTAACACACTTCCTCTCCACTACCTTCCCGGTTTGAGTCTATTCGTGTTTGAATTCCACCTTCTTCTGAAAAGCTTTCCCTGACCACGACAGCCTTCCATGACCTCTCTAATTTACGAAATTCTGTAGTCTGACTTACATGTATCACGCACTGCCTAGTACTCTCATCATTTTCTCTCGACATGCATTCTTCTCGGCCCACCAGGCTCCCCGAGAACAAGGACCCAAAATCCTTCTCAGTAGCCCTGCATCCTTCTTTTACCCAGTAAGACCACGTGCCTCTTACGAGCTCAAAAAATCTCTTTTTGCATATCAAAATTTAATACTACGCTTTAAAAAAAAGATTTTATTTATTTATTTTTAGAGAGGAAGAGAGAGAGAAAAAGAGGGACAGAAACGTCAACGTGCGAGAGATACATTGTTGTCTCTCGCATGCCCCCAACTGGGTACCTGGACCACAACCTAAGTGTTTGTCCTGACCAGGAACTGAACCAGTAACCTTTCTGTTAGCAGGCTGGCACTCAATCCACTGAGCCACACCAACTAGGGCTAATTCTATGCTTTAAAATTATTTGTATGTGTTGTGCTATTATTCCTTAATCCAAATCTAATATTACACATTTTTTTCTGTATAGTTATACTATTTTGATTTTGCTTTAGTTGGAATAATTTATTACAGGTAATTATAATGGCATTTAGCATAATATTATATGAGTATTACTTCCAAAATAAAGCCTGCTAATTCACGGAAAAACATACATGGTGTGGTTTAAATGAATCTACTTGGTTTATTTTTTAACCCTGATACAAAGCTTTCTAATTTAGAAGAGTTTCTATGCACCTTGTCTAATCGGATCATCACAATGACTAGTGAGAGGGAGATCATCACTGTTTCACTGTAAAGATGAGGACACTGAGACTCTTTCAGACTCAGTGACCCACCCAAGGCCACAGGTAACAAGTGTTATGCTAGAGGGGCTGCCCATTTTCTACCCACCACTTCTTCCCGGTGCTCACGTTCTTGGAGAAGCAAACTGTAGGCCCCACGGTGTCCCAGGGCCCAGGCTCCTAACCCCTCAGCTACAACGGGTGGGGCAAGAAGCACATGCCTCCTCTAAGTGGAGCGATCAGGGGTTTTTCCTCAGAAACTGTGAATTAGTACACTGGAAAACCAAGTTAGCTTTTACTGAATATTTAAAATAAGAAAAGCTGTTAAAGCCGGGCCTGGGCGAGCCTGTGCACAATAAAGCAGAAAAGGCAGGGAAGGGTGGGGAAGGGAGGAGCAGAGGGGAACTGCTTCCTGTGAGACAGACAGAGGCTGTTTCCACTCCAGCCCCGGTTCTTGGTCTTGGATTCTGGAAGATAGCCTTGCAGAGCTCCAAAAAATCTGTTTTTGCTGGAATTCAAACACGAATTCTGCTGCAGAATTCTGCTGGAATTCTGCTGGCTCAGTGGGTTCAATCCCAGGTCAGGGCATATACCTAGGCGGGGCACATATAGGAAGCAACCGACCAATGTTTCTCTCTCTCTCTCTCCCCTCCCTTCCTTTCTCTCTAAAGTCAATATATAGCCCTGGCTGGTATAGCTCAGTGGATTCAAGTGTGGGCCTGTGAACCAAAGGGTCACCAGTTCAATTCCCAGTCAGGGCACACGCCTGGGTTGCAGGCCAGGTCCCCAGTGGGGGGCAGCGCAAGAGGCAACCGCTCATTGATGTTTCTTTCTTTCTCCTTCCCTTTCCCTCTCCCTAAAAAATAAACAAACAAATAAATAAATAAAATAATAAAATCAATATACACATCCTTGGGTGAGGATTAAACAAGTATATATTATAAAAGTCTCAACAGCTAGATGATATGTGCACAGCTACTTCGGGAAGAAACTGGTAATAATGGTAATGCCATGGTAATACTCCTCTCGTATATGTAGATAATCTGTAGTTCTTGACTGGCCCCAGCCTTTCCCTCTGGAACAAAAAGTCATTCTGTAACTGACAGTTTGGTGATACCTGGCAACTACGAAGGTCTGGGGAATTAGCCTGAGACACTAGCACAAAGGGATCACAGCCTTTAGGCGTGTCTGTCTCGGACTCATGACATCTGCTAAGTAATCTGGGGCTCAGACCCTGCACAACTGCAAGACCTCAAAGTCCCTAAACTGCCCACGTATTTGCCTCAAGAAATAAACGTGGGAAGACAGGAGGTAACGGTAGAGGCATGAGCCCAAAAGAGAGTCAGAGAGATACACTTTCTAATCTTTAGAAAGTAAGTTTTTCTTTAATTGTCCAGATTTAAAGAAATCAGAGTTTAGAATATTACTTGGGTGTTTTTCTTCAAGGAAAAACCTACTACGTAAACTGTCTAGGTAGCAATTGGGAATTACAATGAAGTACTAGCCAGGAATTTGGAAATAAGCCTGGCCACTGAGAGTTAAACTCTAAAGTAAACATATCAGAAATAAGAACAACAATGCACAATATAAAAAGTCATCTTAAAAATGCAGAAGGAAGCCGAGAAAAGAGAGAGACAACCACGGGCAGCGTTTGTGCAGAGCTTTTCGGAGGCGACCTCAGCCCCCCGAGCATTAAGATCACCAGCGCAGAGCCAGATGGCCAGCCTTCGGCATCTCTGCTACGGCGCACAGGAAGCCTTCCGATTTTAATCTAGCTTCCAGGTAGTCCCTCCCGTATCAGTGCAAGAATATCAAGTCATCTGGGTCAGGAAATAATAAATTGGTTCACCGGATTCCTGTGACTGCACCCATACCTGGTCATGGCAACTAGACAAGAGTAGACAGATAACCAAAACCCAGCCCATTATTTTCCCATCTCTCTTAGGAGTCTAAGTAAGTCTGTTGGGTTAGTAAGAGTCAGTACCTTAGAGTCTGGTTACATTTTGATTCACTCATGAATAGGTTCTGAGCTTATAAAGCTGAAGACTCTAGTTTCATGGGTCCATAAAGACCCAGGGCTTCGTATGCCAAGAGAAACTGGAAGCCATACACCCATCAGGATGGCTATCGTCTAAAACAAAACAAAACAAAATGAAACTAAACCAAACCCAGAAGATGACAAGTGTTGGTGAGGACGTGGAGAAACTTGACCTTGTGAATTGCTTGTGGGAATGTAAAATGGCACAGCCACTATAGAAAATAGTATGATGGTTCCTCAAAAAATTAAAAGTAGAATTACTATAGAATATAATAGAACATGATAGAATAGAATATGACCAAGCAATTCCGCTTCAGAGTGTATACAGAGAAGAACCGAGGCAGGGACGGAAACAGTCACATTCACAGCAGCCAACAGGTGGAAACGACTCGAATGCCCACTGACAGACAAATGGGTAACAAAATGCGGTAGGTGTGTACAGTGGGTACTACTCAGCCTTAAAAAGGACATTTGGCTACACCCGAGAACACGGGTGAACCTCAGTAACATTATGCTAAGTAAAATCAACCAGAGGTGAAAGGCATGGTTCCGCCTATGTGAGATAGCAAGAACACTCAAATCCATAGAGACAGAAAATAGAATAGTGGTTACCAGACGCTTGTGGCGAGGGAGAGAATGGGGAGCTGTTGTTTAAATGCACACAGAGTTTCAGTCTGTGGTGACAAGAAAGTTCTGGAGAGGGACAGTGGTGATGGTTGTGTGTAGTCAGTGTAAATGCCACTGACTACACACATAAAAATGATCAAGGTGGTAAATATTATAGTGTGTTGTGTTAAAAAAAAGTTTTAGCACAACTTTTTAAAAGGCCATAGAAAAACATAAATGGTAGAACCTAGGTGATGGGTATACAGATGTGTTTACAGTAGAATCTTTTGACTTTTCTGTATTTATTTTTTATATTTAGTTTTTACAGATTTTACTTATTTTTAGAGAGAGGAGAAAGGAGAGAAAAAGAGAGGGAGAGAAACAGAGATCAGCTGCTCCTCTCAAGTCCCCAGCTGGGGACCTGGCCCACGACCCAGGCATGTGCCCTGACTGTGAACTGAACCAGCAACCTTTTAGTCTGCAGGCTGGCGCTCAATCCACTGAACCACACCAGCCAGGGCTGACTTCGCTGTATATAAATTTTTCTATCATAAAATGTTAGGGAAAAACCCCTGGGAAGTCAGCTTGTCTTTTCTGGGCATTGCCGTTCTACCTTAGTAAACATCTTTTAAAGTAACCAATCAACCAATCAACCAAGTTTTTATTAAAAGCATCTATCATTTGGCCAAAACATCACTTTAGAATTCTCAGGGGGTCTCTCAGATTTTCTTTTATAGAACAGAATCTGAAAATTAAAAGCCAAAGTAACCCTTAAGTGAGAAATCACAGGACATCAATGTTTTAGTTGTGTGTCCTGAACCAAAACAGATTATCCAAGATTATACTAAACTATACTTAGACTGATGTGCACCCACACACTACTGTCAGCCAGGGCAAGCGATCTGGACTTCATTTTTAAGATCACCGTATTACCCATGGGGAGGTTAAATTACAGTAAGGCAGGCACAGAAATGTGGGGACCATGATGAAACACAGGCGAGAAAATGTTGGGGCTTAGGTCAGATGGGTCACAGCTCATTCATCTGACATTCAATGGCGCATGTGAGCTCTAGCTGTATTGAGATTTGTACCTACTTATCCCTAGGTAACGATAAGCTATCTACCCTTGCATATCTATAGTGATGACAGCCCTTATACACTTGCTTTGTACCAGGCCTGGTTAAGCATGTTTTATTCTGAAATGATTTACTTCTAAAAATGTTGCAAAAGCAACATAGAGTGTTGCAAACCCAGGTTCCCTAAATGTTAACATCTTATATAATCGAACTATTTTTTAATGCTTCTGTTAAAAAAGCTGGTGATTATTTTCCCCTCAGAGCTACAACTACTCCTTTTATGCTGACCATCAAAAGGAATTAAAAGCCACATAAGGACAAATATATTTCATCTACCAAGGAATAATGACTTTTAAGATATAAGTCCATAAAACTGCTTCAGATAACAAAAACCAACATTTACTGAACTCATACTATGAGTTAAACACCTCTTGGAACTTTGAACAATAATAGGCTAATTCATTTCATTCTCATTACCACCCTATAAGGTAACTTTTTACACCTCTGTCTGAGAAAGGGGAAACTGAGGCAAAGAGAAGTCACACAAACTGCCTGAGGTCACAGAGCTGGCCAGTGTGGAGGCCCGGGTATGTTACCACCACACTGCGCTGCCACTGCTCCAAGTCAGGCCGCTCGGCTGCAGTGGCTGACAAGTCAAACATTAATCATCAGTGTCTCAATATTAATAAATCGATAAGCCATAAAAATTACAAGTGTCGTAACATCCACTTTAAATCCACATAGTTAAAGAGCTAAGTATTGTACCTGATATGTCTAAGAGAGAAAAGCCTCTGCCTTCCTCATTTAATAAATTTTTTTAAAGATTTTATTTATTTTAGAGAGGGGAAGGGAGGGAGAAAGAGAGGCAGAGGAACATCAATCGGTTGGTTGCCTCTTGCACAACCCCACCTGGGAACCTGGCCTGCAACCCAGGTACGTGCCCTGATGGGAATCAAACAGGTGACCTTCTGGTTTGAGGGACAACGCCCAACCCACTGAGCCACATTAGTCAGGGACAATAAATCTCGTTAGATATCCTGATGCCTTCTAATGATTTCTAAGACCAGTAATTGCAAGTGATAATTCTCATAGTTGCGTTTGCTTCAAATAAAATCTATTTGACATCAGTTTTTCTGCCAAGTAATCTGTTATTGTTTGCAGATTATTTTTTTTTGAAGAGTGTCAGTGGGCAGCAGGTACTTAAAGAGATTTTAAAACACTGAACAAAAAACTCCGACCGGTATGGCTCAGTGGGTTGGGTGCTGTGCCACGAACCGAAAGATCACAGGTTTGATACCCCATCAGGGCACATGCCAGGGCTGCGGGCCAGGTCCCTGGCTGATGGTACATGAGAGGCAACCCATCAATGTTTCTTTTCCTTTCTTTCCTCCTCCCTCCCCCTCCCTTTATAGAAAATAAATAAAATCTTAAAAACAAACCTGAACAAAACATTGTAAAATAATTTAGGGTGCTTTAAAATTCTTCTCAGCTGCATTTTCCCTTTGGATTTAATGTCAGAGAAAATATAGTATGAAAGTAAAATAAACAAAGTTTTAAAAAATGTTTTTTTAAGAATACATAAGCAAAAAATACACATAGACCAAGTCATTTGAGCAATTTAAATGAAAGCCATTACTATTTCAAAGTTTTCAACACATGTCAGCGCACAGAACAAATACCTCATGTCTTGGATAAGGGAGACCCTGAGTGTTGGCAACATAACTCCGGAGTCAGATTTTCTCCTTTCTGGTCCCAGGGCAACTATGTAGAAAAATATCAGCAAAGTATTAGAGAAATAACAGTAAGAAATAAGCATCTATGTGGTTCACATTCTGTAAATAAATACTTTTAAATTACTTTGATAAGAACAAATTTTCAAGACAAAAGCTCAGGTTCTTTTCCCCCAATGTTGCTACTTTATTAATACTGTAAACCAGCTATTTTCCTTCTAGTTAATCTAGGGCTATGCCTGTAAATTTAAAATGAATCATAATAGCCCACTTAGCAAACAATGCAGTATGTGCAAGTTTTGGCCATAAGGGCCAGTCATTTTCTAAAGTTAGTCATTCTAATTGAACTGGATAATTACATGAAAGCAATGTCTATATATGAAGCCACTGAGCATGTGAACCATCTCTGGGCTCATGAATTGCAATCACACAACTTCCCTACACAGCAGGACTTCAAATAGTGTTATTTCTTTATAACGATGATGAGATGCCATAAGCACCTAATCAGTTTATATCAATTAGCCTGTGGTAGCACTGGTTTCATTACATGTCATTTCACTTCAAGACTCAGAACCTATCGACAATATCACATGAGAATTTACTGTGCTCTATGAGTGCTTGAAAAGGAAAATCTAAGAGTTTGGGCTAAGTTTCTACCTTGAAGTTCAGAATCCAAACTATAGTATATATATAATGCAAAATCTAAATGAACATTTAGAAATGCATAACATCCACAAGTCTCTTATGAAACCCGAATAGCTAATATTTATTAAAAAAAGGAAAAATTGTTCTCTTGTACATCAATGGCTGGAGCATCGATGACTTGCTGCTGTACTGCAGCTGCAGCGCCCAGCCTCACTTTCGTGAGATGCCGTGGGGTTTCACACCTGTGTCTGTTCTCTGATCTGCAAGTGAAAACACAACTGCAACACCGCACTCAGCAAATGCAGCGAACGGCATGGGTCTGAACTGCATGGTCTACTTACACGTGGATTTTCTCCAGTAAATATACTGGAAACATTTTTGGAGAGTTCCTTACTATTGTGGAGCAATCACACTGATTACATTAAGCTATTATAAAGCAATCGTATTGTTGCTTCATTATCAGTGCATGAACCATTATACCCGTAAATAAGTATGATTTTGCTTTTCCCATTATCTTCCCATTTTTAATGTCTAGTGCATCAGTAACATGTATAACACCTACAGTGTTTTGCATCATAGGCACTAACAGAGAGATGGTACATCTTGTGAACAGGTGACAAACTAGAAGTAGTATTAAATACAGCACAGTACTGTTAATGCATTCTCTTATGATTTTCTTAACACATTTTCTTTTCTCTAGCATACTTTATTATAAGAATATGTATATAATATATATAATATAGCTCTCCAAATATGTATTAACCGACTGTTTTTGTTACTGGTAAGGCTTCCTTCCGGTCAACATGAAGCTATTAATTTATTAGTAGTTGAGTTTTGGAGGAGTCAAGTTATGTGTGAATTTTAGACTACACAGTGGGGGCTGGTGTCCCTGGCCCCCATGCTGTGCTAGGAACACTGTATGTACATTGATAACATCACAATTTAGGATGTGAGTTTTGCTGTACGTTAAATGGTATTTTCTCAGATTCTGGACCCACCCTGCCTTGAGGGGCTAGGATGCAGTGTCAGAACACCATCTACCTGATGCTGGCAGGTGGTGAAGGGAGACAGACAGGGACACTGTGCTGTGTTAGCATCTGCATGTTCTGGCCCTTGGGGAAAGCGGCTGAGCTGACACTTGGCAGGGACAAATGAATACTGGCGGGGCCAGCCCAATCTGGGGGCAGTGCTTCTGAGGCCTTCTCCACCAGGTGGGTGGTAGACAGGCCATTGGTTAGGGCCGTTTTGGGAGGGAGTTTTCAATGGGTCACTGGAAACACCTGTTCATCTTGATACGCGGGAGGTAAAAGACCTTAGGAAACTATTCCAAAGATTGTGTCGTATTCGTCTTCCTGTCTGAAGCTACCAGCACTTGAGTGTGTTATTAGTGAAAGCACATCTCTCTTTTTTGAAAGATAGTAAGATACACTCCAGAGACTAGACGGTATGAAAGAGGGACGCACGAGTGGTAAGAAAATAGGTTAAGAGGGAAAAAAAGATCAGGAGGCCAGAGAATGGAGACGAAGCTATAATCAGGAAGGGGGCTGGGAGGGAGAAGGGGCAACAAGGAGTCATGTCTCCAGGAGCAGAGAACCAGCGACAGACTTGGTAAGAGAGGAGCCTGTCGTGTAAACAAGCACCCACAATAAGAACACCCAGACGCCTGTGCACGTTCCAGGAATCCTGTTTGGGGGCCATACATCCTAGCTGCCCTTCTCTGATCGACACTCCTTAAACACACGATGTATACGATGTACTTTCATGTCTCCGTGCATCTGATAGTCTCCAGCCTGTCCTTCAGCGTTCTGCATACTTCTCCTTGTTTGTAGCCTCTTTATCACTTCGGATGGAGAGCAGTACAGCATAGTGGTTAAGAAAACGGCTTTTTCAGATCCTGCAGAGGGAACTTAATAGCTCACTAACTTTGATTGAGTGATTTAAACTCTGGTCTGTTTCCTAGTCTGCAAATTGGGAACAGTAACAGTATCTACTTTATTCAAATAGATGAAAAGCACTTAGAATAGTGCCTGGCACAAAATAATTCCTCAATAAATAAACTGTAGCTTTAATTTTGCCTCTGTGTGAAGTCTTTCCTGAGCATCCTCTCTGCCCTAGGTACACTATTAGGTGTCATTCTCTCTCTCGGACACGACCTGTAAGACCGAACATCTATTACAAACTTACCACAATTGAATGTTCTGTTACTCCTATGATCCTACTAGTCTGTGCCTCTTGAGGCTCCGTCATATCCTGTTTTTAGACTCGCAGGGCCGAGCAGAGGCCCCACACAACACACATGCTCAACAAATGCTCACCATGCTCACCTTCTGAGGAAGGTGAGTCTGTTTAGGGCCAGATAACAGAACCTTAAAAAAGAAGTTAGACATTTACAGAAATCCTAAAGAGAGGGCAGGGATTTGGAAAAAAATGACATGCTTGTGAGTACTTTTTAGTTATTAACTGGAGTGATGGTGTGATGGTGTAAAAGGAAACAAGACTGAGCTAGAAGTGGTTCGAAAGGCCAGTGGATGAACTAGGACAGTGGCAGCCGGTGAGCACCATGAGGCGACACACACAGCAGCAGGGAACACAGGACTTAATCATGACCAGATGTAAAGGGAAGCAAGACTCAAGAGTCAAAAGTGGACAGGCGCATCAAGACAAAAAAAATGGCCTGAACGGAAGAACAGATCAAAGCCCCAGAACAAATACAACTAAGTGATGAAGAGATAGCCAACCTATCAGATGCGCAGTTCAAAGCACTGATGATCAGGATGCTCACAGAACTGGCTGAATTTGGTCGCAAATTAGATGAAAAAATGAAGGCTATGCCAAGTGAAATGAAGGAAAATGTACAGGGAACCAAGAGTGATGGGAAGAAAACTGGGACTCAAATCAATGGAGTGGACCAGAAGGAAGAAAGAAATAACCAAATAGAAAAGAATGAAGAAACAAGAATTCCAAAAAATGAGGAGAGGCTTAGGAACCTCCAGAACATCTTTAAACATTCCAACATCCAAATTATAGGGGTGCTAGAAGGAGAACAGGAAGTGCAACAAGTGGAAACCTTATTTGAACAAATAATAAAAGAGAACTTCCCCAATCTGGCAAAGGAAATAGACTTCCAGGAAATCCAGGAAGCTCAGAGTCCCAAAGAAGTTGGACCCAAGAAGGAACACACCAAGGCACATCATAATTACATTAACCAAGATTAAAATGAAGGAGAGAATCCTAGAAGCAGCAAAGATAAGGGGACAGTCACCTACAAAGGAGTTCCCATCAGACTGTCAGCGGATTTCTCAAAAGAGACCTTATAGGCAAGAAGGGGCTGGAAAGAAGTATTCCAAGTCATGAAATCCAAAGACCTACAACCAAGATTGCTCTGTTCAGCAAAGCTTTCATTTAGAATGGAAGGACAGATAAAGTGCTTCTCAGATAAGATCAAATTCACGGAGTTCATCATCACCAAGCCCTTATTATATGAAATGTTAAAGGGACTTACCTAAGAAAAAGAAGATAAAAAAGATGAACAGTGAAAGGACAGCAAACTCACAGTTATTAAGAACCACACCTAAAACAAAAGCAAACTAAGCAAACAACTAGAACAGGAACAGAACCACAGAAATGGAGAGATCACATGGAGGGTTAGCAACAGGGGAGTGGGAGGAGAAGAGGTGGGGAGAAGGTACAGAGAATAAGTAGCATAGACGGTAGGTAGAAAATAGACAGGGGAAGGCAAGAGTAGTGTGGGAAATATAGAAGCTAAAGAACTTATGATACATGGACATGAACTAAAGGGGGGGAACGTGGGTGGGAGAGGGTGTGCAGGGTGGAGGGGAATGAAGCAGGGGACAAAAAAAGTCAAAAGCAGTGTTGATCTTACTCGTTGATCTATGGATATAAAATGTCTGAACATATATTACCCTAATCATAATTTTCCTCTGAAATTTTTAATCTTAATTTTGCAGATGAAGAAACTGGGGCTCAAAGAGGTTAAGGGGCAAGGTGTCCTGATGGTATGTCCAGTGGGCTTCTGGTACATTACAGATGACTTTCTAGCTTCTAAACTCAACAGAGAGAAGGGGGCTGATGCCTTCAAATAAAGTGGAGAGAGAAGGCCTGACAGGGGCAGGAGGAGACACACTGAGATAATGAGTTTGACTTAGGACCTGCTGGGTCTGAGATCCCAATGGGCCATCCAGATGGATGGGTCGGGACTAGGGCTGGACACAGAGGTCTGTGGATGATCTGCTAATGGGATGCTGGAAGATAACACTGCAGTAGGCAACAGTAGTTGCTATGGTTTGAATTATGTCCCCCAAGAGGATGCCAAAGTCCTAACCACCAGCACCTACAGATCTAATCTTTTTGGAAATAGGATCTTTATGGATGAAGTTAAGATGAGGTCATTAGGATGGGCCCTAGTCCAATGTGACTCATTGGACCCCTTATGAAAAGGGGGAATTTGGACACACAGACAGACATGTGTAAAGAAAAGGACAGGTGAAGACCCAGGGAGATGCCATCTACTGGCCATGCAATTCCTGAGACTACCAGAAGCTGGGAGAGGCGTGGCACAGATTCTCCGTCACAGCCCTCAGCAGGAACCGCCCCTCCTGACACCTTGACTTTGGCCCTCTAGCTGCCAGGACTGTGACACAGTAAACTCCTGTTATTTGGGCCACCCCGTCTGTGGTGCTTTATGACAGCAGCCCCAGGACTGACACCTTAGTTTATCAGGGACTTTGGAAGGAACCGTTTAGAAAGCTTTGAGCAGAAGGCAGGTAAGAGTTAAAAAGTAATGCCGTACTTTTAATCTACAGATCTAAAATCTAAGGTTTCCATAGAGTCTACTCCAGAAAAGAAATTTATAAACTATTTAAATGTGTACCCCTATTACTGTTCTTAATGCAACACACTTAAATGCAATCGGCCACGTTCTCCTTTGATAAAGCCCCGGTGGGCCACCACTTAGCCGCGGGGAGTCCTCTGGGGATCTGCCCGAGTCAACGCTGCCGCAGAGCAGCAGGTGTGCAGAGGGCGGAGGCCGTGCATTCTTTTTACAGAATCATCTACAGTCCAGATGGAGGTAAGCAATTAATAGAAAATTTGGGTTAAGATCAGACGACTGAAGAATGACTCAAAATTCTTGGGCTAGATCCGGAATAACCGCTTAAAAGCAGTATTTCTTCCCTTTTGTGCATCCTACCCTATCTCTTGCCAATGATTTAAAAATCCATTTAAAGTTTAGTGGAATCTTGCTAAGGATTCAAGGCTTAAGAACACCTACATTGCCCTGGCTGGTGTAGCTCAGTGGATTGAGCGTGGGCTGCGAACCAAAGGATCACGGTTCGATGCCCAGTCAGGGCACATGCCTGGGTTGCAGCCCAGTCCTCAGTGGGGGCATGGGAGAGGCAACCACACATTGATCTTTCTCTCCCTCTCTTTCTCCTTCCCTTCCCCTCTCTCTTCTCTAAAAATAAAAAGAAGAAATAAAATATTAAAAAAAGAAAAAAAAACACCTATGTCTAAGCTGGCCAGCATTTTCAAAAGTAGACAGTTTGGGTGATTTGTCAGGAACAATTCCCTTTCTTAGGAGCAGTTCCAACCTGAGATCCTTTCTCTGCAGCAGGACTTCAAACTACAGTGTGCAGGGACTTGGTCAAAACTTGACTAAATCACAATCAAGTTAGTCTAAAAGACACGGAGGAAATTCAAATGCACAGTGCCAGGTGCAAGAAGCCCATCTGAAAAGGCTGTATCCTATATGACGTTCTGGATGGGGCAAAACTATGGAGACAGTGAAAAGGTCGGTGGCTGACAGGTGAGGGAAGAGCAAGGGATGAACAGGCAGAGGGCAGAGGAGTTTTAGGGCAGTGAAACTACTCTGAATGAAACTATAATGGTGGCTACAGGTCACTATACATTTGTCTAAACTCATAGTTCAACACCGAGAATGAAACCCAGTGTAAACCATGAACTTTGGGGTGATGACGTATCAATGCAGGTTCATCAACTGTGAGAAATGTACCACTTTGCCCTGGTGCCTGTGGCTCAGTGGTTGGGCATCATCCCGCAAACCGAAAGGTCGCCAGTTTGATTCCTGGGCAGGGCACGAGCCTGGGTGGTGGGTTTGGACCCCGGCAGGGCGTGTACGGAAGGCACCCAATTGATGTTTCTCTCCCTTTCTCCCTCTCTTCCCCTTCCTCTCGAAAAAAAGGGGCAGGGAGAGAGAAGAAATGTATCCCTTTGGTGGGAGATGTGGATAAGGGGGGAGGCTACTCATCAGAGGCAGAGGGTACACGGGAAGTCTCTGTATCATCTGCTCATTATTGCTATGAACGAAGAGCTACTCTAAAACATAAAGTCTATTAAAAAATTAAGACAGTCTACCCTGCCATGGTCCTCTGGCTGAGATAGACCCTTCCCATCTTCAGCAACCCTTACAATGTCTCTGGTTCCTGACACTGCTGCTTCTGAAGGTCACCGGTCTTCTCCTGGCTCCGGTCAGTGGGACCAGCACGCACACCCAATGTGGCTCTCTAAGAACTCGGAGGGTCTTCCCTTAATGTGAAAATGCAGTCTGTTTACTGCCATTAATTAGAAAGCCTAACAGTTGGCAAACAAAAAGTGTTTCTTTTTGAAAAACAAAACAAAACAAACCACCCTGATTTAAAAGCAGAGAAGTCAATGTACTCGCTGCTCATCTCTACATTATTTGTACACACTGTTTCACAATAATGAAATATTTTATTTTTAAACTGATGTTTTTATACATATTTCACACTGTTATATTTTTAAATCCTAATTTCATGGGCTGAATCATCAAAAGTGTTAGAGCAGTATTTATAAAACCTCTCTCTGCAAACAGACAATAAATTGATTTCAAAAGCTGCAGGGCTTACGTGCACCCAGCCGAGGGCCCGTGAAACAGTGAGCTCCTGCTTTCTTCTGTCCCACTGGCCCTGTGGCACTTGAGAGCACAGCACAGGGACTGTGCCTGGCTTTAGACATTTGGGATCTCTTAGCCTCGAAATCAGAGTTCCACTGGTCCCCTGTGGACTGCCGGCCAAGCCATGAGGCTGTGGGCGGGGCCCGGCGCTGCTGGCTCTCCTGGCTGGGGACCCTCAAATAGCATCCTCGGCAAAGGCTTCGGCCTCCCTGAGGTAACTAAGCTTGGCTTTCCAACCTTTCATCCTAAAGACGTTAGTTTTTCCCTAGGAATTTGTTTCCTCTAATTAGAGTAAGCTTCTTTGGTTATGGTCATACAGGTTGAAAGCTTCCATTTTCTATGAACACAAATGTCAAGAGACAGTTTGAGAGCTGAGATCTCAACAGGTCTTGGTCTCAGTCTTAGCAGATATAGTTACATTTTGAGACATGAGAATCATAATATCCTATTTAGAGGGGCTCCCGGGCAATTTAGTATCAAATTCACATTCTTCGCTGTTTCACTGGACACATTTAAAAACTAGATTTCCAACAGGCACCACATTCAGGGTAGTACTGTGCTCTGGCAGCAGCAAGGCGGGTGGGAACAGAGTGCGTCTGTCCTATTTGCAAGGCTTTATTTTTTCAGCTGGTGGTTGGCTTATGAGTTAATTTTTTTTTGTTTTTTTACATTTCTGAATGTCTTAAAAACTCCACAATTTTAGAAAAGTTTTCCAAAGTCAGTATAAAACATTCTATCTCTACTAGGCTTTCCACTGTTACTTGCACTTTTTGTGAAACAGATGGCTGTTTTACATACAGAAAATCGAGCTCCTTGTTGTAAAAAAAATACACAGCAGGTAGTGCGTCTGGGGACCTCACGTAACTCTAATTAGCTAAAGAAGTTGACGCTTCTAACTTAAGTGTCCTATTATAAACTGAAGGAGAAATCTGACTCTTGAAGATTTTGGAGACATATGCATTTTCCCTCCCTGAAAGATTAATGATGGTTATAAAATTTTCCTTTCAGAAAAAAATCAGTATATATTCACCATAATATTGGTGAGAGTAAGGCATATACAGAAAACCCTCACTTAATATTGACAAGTTCTTAGAAACTGTGGCTTCAAGCAAAACCGTGTATGACAAAACCCCTTTCATCACGGGCTATAAAGAGTTAAGTACTTACAGCATACTTCTGGTCACAAAAATATCACCAAACTTCTAAATAAAGACCCAAAACACTTCTAATATCAAACAATGAAACATATGTGACTTCAGGAAGATTAATAAAGTAAGATGATTTTTCCAATCTGCTTATTCCAGTCCAGGGCCACAGGTGCCTGCAGCCTCTCCTGGCAGCTCAGGCGGTAAGGTGGGAACCCACACTGGACAGGACACCCGTCCGCCGCAGGTGCACGCACAGCCACACGTACTCACACTGGGGCAGTGCGGACAGGCCAGTTCTCCTCACAGGCACACCTTTGGGATGTGGGGGGAATCTCGGTCCCTGGAGAAAGCCTCACACAGATAGTGGCCATGGCCAGGAACTGATTTTTCCTTCATCTGATCAACGTGACAGTCTTGGCACAGCTAGTATCCTCTCTCCTGTCTTGTGAAGGAGGAGACTGAAGATCAGAAAGGTCAAGTGACTTTTCCCTGCTCTCAACCCTAGTAAGCAATATTGCGCCTTCTACTCTACCCCACTACTGACAAGATGGGGTCAGTTTCAGCTTGAGAGAGAGAGAGGCAGAGACAGAGCTATATGGTATTAATCCTTCAGGTGGTCCAATTCTGCCAGTTCTGTAGAAACAATCAAACCAACGAACTCTCACCTGGTGATTCTGCAAGGTGCTCTTGTTTCTCTTCTCTATCCTGAAACTGAATTAAATGTGACCATAAAGCCGACTTCCCCTGAAAGTACAAGGTACATAGAATTTTCATTTTATAAGAAATAATACATCAAAAAATAATTTTGCATCAAAACCATTCATGATAAAATGGCCATTCTGAAGTCTGAAGAACCGAGCTCACCCATGCCCAGGTGTGTGACACCGTGAGCATGTAGTGACTCTCTGTGTAACAAGGGTCATTCTTTGCTTCACTGAGATCAGTGGCAACAGCCTGGGGAGGAGCAGCTACAAAACGAGAGGCCAGAAGTGGAGGCACAGACTTCTGACTTCGGCCTGGTTGTTACCTAGCTGTATATATTTAGGGCTGCCTGTATTAGCCAACACCAGTAACCATGGAACTAAAAGGCTCTAGCAGCACAGGATGAATCTGTGTCCATCCACACGCAAAATATGTTTCATTATATGGAATGGCAAAGAGGGAAAAAAACTGGGCCAAGAGGGGAAAGAGAAAAGGGGAAGAAGAAATATGCACCCAAGAGAAAAACAAAACAAAACAAAACAGAAAGGGAGACAAGAGAGATAAGAGCAAAGAAGCCATCTGAATTTTTCCATCCTGAATAACTAAGCAACTTAAAATGATAAAGAACTGTCAGTTCTGGCTGACTTTTTTGCTGGACATGACAAAAGCAGGCACTTCATGGGACCTACAGGAGACACAGTCTCTGCAGCAAAGGTGCTGCTTCACTCCTTCCTGTTTACCAGGAAGGAGCCCCAACCCGCCTCCTAATCATGGGCTGTGTTTTCTTTTTCTGGCATAAAAACGCCTGTGGTGCGTTCCTAGTCATCCTGTGACAAAGAAACACACCCTTTAATTTGTATGATACTCTCTTCCCCTTGCTATGGTTCCCGACAGGGCTCCTAAGCGGATGTTGCTGAGGGCCCCCTGCGACAGTTACCTGCTTGACCTGCAGGCCGTGGCTCCATATCCTCTCCAGGAGGTCGCAGAGGCTGGCGATCAAGGTGTTCTCCTCCAGGCCCGTGATGTTCGCTTCCCCGTGGCCCAGCTCCACTGCTTCGTGGCCCATCTTCTCCACCAACATGCGTTTTGTCTGAAAACATCACATGCGGCCACAAGTGTTATCCCAGCAGTGAAGCCAAAACTCAGCGAGTCCATTACTGGGTCAGGAGAGCAGGGTTCCCCGTTTATTTCTAACTGCAGGTCTTTGGTCACCTCAGAAAGTGTCTTAATCTCTGTGGTCAGTTAACTGGAATAACATTATGTATACGCTTACTACTTTGTCAGAGAAATAGGTGGTCACTAAAGAGACGTTATGATACTAAAGTGTCCTCACGTAAATGTCGACGTATGACAATTTTCAGATTATTAACTTGAGTAATACTGAGAAAGTACACCAGACCTAGAACAGGTACTGTCAGAATCTAAAACCCTACCTTGCCACCAAGGGAACCCCAGTGCCCCTCATGTCAGGGACACAAGTCTCTGCACTTTGGCAGAAAGCACCATACAAGCCAGCAACTCTCATTTTTCCCCAGAACTCTACTTTGCGAGTGAATCCGTATTTTTCCCTTCCTCCTTTCCCTTTTTATTTGTCTGCTCATGAATATGCACCAAGAAATGGAAAGGAAATGGAAATCAAGTTTCAGGTGGGTTAATTTACAGTCTTAGCTGCTCTTATAAAATATAAAGTGACAGGGAATCTAGTTCCCAGGCAGAGACCTAGTCTATGACTCAGCACTATCTGTGGATGCTAAAAATAGGGCTTTTATTGAGTACACAGAAAAGGTTCTAAAAAAATGACTGTCAAATAAATGAGTAAAACTGTTGGCTAAAATGATGTTCTGAGGTTTGTCAATCTGTACTGCCTACCAGAGGGCAGACTAGTGTGTAATACACATGAACCAGCGATCTTCTTCCTTATGTGTATACTCACATATGTATGGGCAGGAATAAAATTCCCCACAGATGCACGGACAGATACATACAAAAAGGGTGTTGCCTTTTGCATAAGGTGACAACATCCCTGAGACAACTTCTGACTGGCTTAGTATCTGTTCCTGCTGGAGGGGAAGACGGCAATTGTTGAAAACATGACAAAACTGCGCGGGGCCCCCACGTCACTGATTCTGTGGGCAGTGGAGAACCCAGGGAGGTTTACGACCTCAGGAGAAAGCACACGGGGTTTAGGCCCTAGTAAACCCCGTGTGCTTCTAGGGAAGCTACAGGCTCAAACGAGGGTGGACTCTGGTCGTCTTGGCCTCACACGCAGAGTGGACACGAAGCGCGCTGCCCCCGTGCGTCCGTGAGCAATACACACCTTCATTCTGCATTCCTTTAATAAGCCTTCGACAAATTTCCAGTTGGTCTGCGCAATCACTGCTGGGGAGAGGTCTGACAACTTCGGTTGCCTCAGGTTTTTTCCTAAACTTCGCGCCTCTTGCATGTATTTCTAAAAATCAGAAAGTATTTTTAATGCCTAAACGTCAGACACTCCTCTGACCCATTCAACCTTAAACAAACAAGTGCAGGAACGATGTAAAGTGTACATGTGCAACAGGAATTCAAGTTTCAGTGTGCCGAAAGACAGAGGACGTTCCCCGCCCCTGCAGCTGTTAACCGCTGTGAAAACAAGGGTGCAGAAAGCACACTAGGTTAAAGCTCATTCAAAATGAGACAGAATTTCAACCAGTTTAGTCTTTTTATTGGGAAGACGCAAAGTTGTGGTTAGTCGGGATCATGGTCGGAATGACAAAATTTGGTGTCTGGATTGCAAATCGAAGGTTCTGCAGGAACCCAGAGATTCTCAGATCACTGGTTTCCTCCACATCTCTCCCCACAGATCAAGAGACTTAACATACTTCTAGCCTGTTGGGCACTGCACCCAAACCAGCCTTTTCCTCTAATCATGTCACAACAGTAAAATCAGGAGCTCTAGGATCTGGGCGCAACTAATTTCATGACCTCAGGCGCATCTGCATCTTCACAAAATGCGCATAAAACAAGCCCGGCCACCTCACAAGAAAGGCTCTGAGATCACTCTCCCAGTGTCATGCGCTGCACATGCAGGAGGCCTCTGTGACGTTTGCTACATCCCTCCTCTGCTCCCTTACACAATCAAGAGGAAGTGAAAACATCCCATTACTCGAGATGGCTCAGGGAGCAGCACAGCAATGCAGTGAGCTGTGCTTGAGCTTTGGTTAGTGAATTTTCAGGGGAGAAAATATCACTACATGTGATGTGCACAGGACACCTGCTGTCTCATTCTATGCCACCCGCAAAAGCTCATTCAGGTACCTTCTGTTTGCATCAGGACCAGAGAGCAGAAGCCCAAGCCATCCAAGTACCTCAGAACAATTTTTAGAGAATAACAACTCTAAATTATGTAGTAAAACTAGCAGTCTGTTGGAGGGAGAGACTGCAAGCCAGCGCATCCTCCCACAGACACATATGTGAAACCCATCTTGCTATCTTAAGAGGAGGATTTGAAATTGTAAGTGAAGATGTGTAAAATTCTCTGAGTTCTTTAAATAAAAGGGAATTCGTACATTTAATATATTTCCCCTCTGCCAAATCTGACAGCTTTTTTTAAAAAACCCCCACTGATTAGGGATTCAGCTGATTAGCTTACTGCCACTCCCCAACTCTCCCGACAAAATGCCGCATTAGCGAAATAATCTGTTTCTATTCCAGTGTAATCATTTTAAGGACAGATTTACAAATCAAACAAACTCCACAAGCATTCAGTGCCCATAAACTTGTGCCTGCCTCTTTCTGCTTCGAATCCTTTTTAGAGGCTCAAACGAAGAGGGAAAACTGAGAATGAGAGACAACTATCCCCACGAGGAAAACTAGAACAGGCCCATTGAAATATCCTGAAGGTTAGTGTTCAAATAAATAAAAGCAGGAAATGAACTGTCAGAGAAACTAACCTGAGACAGAGGCAAGGGATCCCATGCGATTTCTATTATTTCGGGTTGTACTAATGTTATTTGGAATATTACAAATTAGAGATAAAAGGTTGGTAAAAACAAATGCTAACTGGTAAGTGTTAATAAGGTTTTATTTCCCACCCTCAGTTCCTCTGACTCTAGGACGTGTGCAAATACAGAGAGAACCACTACGAGACTCATTCTCGAGAAGAGTTAAGTGTCGAACTTGGCTTAGGAACAAATGCTGCCTGGAAGGAAAAGCATGAGGTCAGGCAAGAGGGCAGGAAGAACAACTCACTAATTGGACCAACAACTAAGCCCACTTTAAAGTTTATGTCCTATTACATAAACAAGAACAAGTTAGAATGGGCTGTGCTTTGAATGGCCATAAACACTGAGCACCCAGCACTATACCCCTGGGGCCGGGAGCATTAGCAGCCAAGACTGAACTCCACAGGGACCACGTGTCAAGTCTCCTTCTGAGAAGCTCTGCTGCAGCACAGAATGGGTAACAGTCCAGGGACATGCACGGAAAGGATATGGAAGGCAGCACAGGCCCTTCCTCGCACAAGAAGTAAGGCCGCTTCTGTATACTGCAAAACCAAGGGGGGAGAAATACGTGATTTTCCTTGGGACAGCTGGAGGAAAAGGTGTATTTCTAAATGAAAAGGGAGGAGAAAGAAAAGTCTTTCCCAAGAAAGGTTTTTATAATACAGCCATTTCACTGCAGAGAGAAGTCGCCTTAGCTTTGTTCTGAGGTTTCTAATTTGTTCTTTTTTTTAAGGTTTTCAATTTTTTTCTTTTTTAAAAGATTTTATTTATTTACTTTTAGAGAGGGGGGAGGGAGAAACATCCATGTGTGGTCGCCTCTCACACACCCCCTCCTGGGGACCTGGCCCGCAAACCAGGCATGTGCCCTGACTGGGAACAGAACCACCAACCCTCTCCTTAGTAGCCCAGTGCTCAATCTACTGAGTTATACCAGCCAGGGCTAATGTGCTCTTCATTTCTGTCAAAACCAAAAGCAACGAACCACTAGGAAACACCTATGAAAACATATCCTACTAATTAATAATCACTGAACAAACTACTCCTCAGTATAGGCTCTCTCTGAATTTTCTATTAAACATTTGCTTCTAACTGGCACTGAAGTTGTGAAGAGAAGGCCATTACAAAAGTAAGTAAATTCATGCTAATATCATAACAGGAAGAAAATACAACCAGTAGTCTCTTGCCCTCAGAAGTAGCAGTTTGGAAGCACCTGGTCGGCAGGGTTACTGGGGCGAGGACAGGCCTGGGAGCCAGGAGTCCTGGGCTGCAGGCCTCGCTCTGCCTCTGTGTGTCCATCTAACTTTGGACAAGTCTTTGGACTTCAGTGAAATCATGTCAGGTTACACAGATGACCTCAAAGGTTCCTCTTAGCACTAATATTCTGTGTTGATGACCTGATTAAAATATAGACCACAAAAGGTAAATTAAAATTCTGTGGAGATAAAACCTAACTAAAGAGCTGACGAAATTAAATCACTTCTGCGAAATGCATACATAAAAGTGAGCTTGAATATTTAACATATATCCCTTTGAAAGAAAACTATTTTGCCAAATCTGTTCTCCATCCCCCTACCAATCCCACTGATCAGGGATTGGAATGACCAGTTTTACCTGCCAACAGCACAGAATTATTGTGTTAGCACACACCACCATAAAAGAATACCAAACACAAGAGGAAGTGAAGAGCAAAAGGGAGAAGCTGAGAGTTCGCGTCACTGCGTGGTGGGAGGCATTCTGGAGCTATGTGCACCCACACGTGTGGATCATTCAGGAACACCTGCAAAGCACCTTCAGGCAAACAACATACCAGGCAGCACTCAGAGAAGGATTTTTTGGGAAGTCGTGCAGGAGGAGGTGTACCCTGATCCCACTCCCAGAATGCCATGGAGTTCTGACAGACCGAAAGTTCCCCGGAAGGCTACGAGGACAGAGAAGGCCAATGACACAGGAGCAAAAAAGAAAAGGGTATGGGGGGGAGAGACAAGCAAAACAAGCATGCATATGACACAGTTGCCGCAAAAGAAAAAGGGGGGAAGAAAATACGGCAGTGCAAAAAAAGAACTACATGTGCTATGCTCTGGTTCTTAAGAAAATATTTAAAATCATATAGGTAAGAACAAGAAGCCATATACATTTGGAATGATGTTTTCCGCCACACTTCTACACATTTGAGTTCAGAAAATAGTTAACGGATGTTCTGATTGTACTTTTTTTTTTTGATCACAGGAAATAATCAACTTATTTAAAAGCATTCGAATATGTAATTATGGTTTTATTTTCAAGCAGTACATATAAAGCATGGGATCTTAATTTAAAAATAACTTTTAAAAACTTTTAAAATGGTTTCAGCAAGACAAAGACAAAATACAGGCAAGTACATCTTGACTACGTTTAAATTATGCTTGAAATAATGTCTACACCTTCTTAGACATTTTTTTCCCCTACAGGAGACATATTGACCAAAGATTTATCTGAAACTTGACCTTGTAATCATGATATTTGGGGAGATTTGTTTTAGATGTACTGAAACTACAAAAATGGAAAAAAGATGTTTTCTGCTGTAGGTCAGTACAAAAGGATGACTCTTTTAAAATATGACGAAGCAGTTTTTTAAAAAGAATGGGCAAGGATCTGCGTGGTGACCCTGCGGGCTGAGCGAGCCCAGGCAAGGGCTCCCGCATCAGGGCTTCCCAGCCAGGCGGCAACGTACCTCCCTCACGTCGCTGTCCAGGCCCACGTGGTCCGGGTGCTGGCGGAGGCGGTCTTTCCTGCGCTGCGTGGTGGCGCTCCGACTTACCCAGCGGCTGACAAAGTAGAAGAGGTGGGTGAAAACAAACCAACCAAAAGAATACAGTTACTTACCTTAAAAATAGAATGAATGAACTGTTCAAAACAAAAGATTGACAATACTTACCTTTTCTTTATTAAATACAGAACAGCTTTACTGAGATGTAATTTACAATCACCCACTTAAACCATGTAATTCAATGGTGTTTAGTATATTCAGATACATAATCATCACCACAATCAATACTTTTTAAAAAAACTGAGGTTAAAAAAATGCATACTATCTTCTCCGTAATGATCCTCTCCTCTCCATCCTGCTCGTCCAACAGAGCCCCAAACCCTGGATGGATACAACCCTCTTCCTTCCTTATCCTCACACCCACGTAGGTTAGTTATTGATTTCACTCTGGACTGCCGATGAATCACTTCGCCGGCCCTTTATCAAACCTCCCAATTCCCACAAATACTACTCCGTATCTTTCACCCAGTACCTCCACTCAGGCGATGACCTACCTTGCCTCCTTCCTCTTGCCCTCTACTTAATGATGTGCACACACAGACACCTCACCATTCTTCTAATCCCAAAGCATGAAATACGCTGGCCAGGGCTCAAAACTGTTTACCCCGCCTGGCCCCCCTGACCAGTTCTCTCTTGCCTTCTTCAACCTGCTCTCTTGGTCACCTCCTTTGCTGTCTTTCTAATTCTTCTTTCCCAACGGAGTCTTTCCTTCCATTTTACAGGCAGGCCGGTGTCTCTCTTGACTTTCTTTAGTTATGTTTAAACTCCTTCACTCTCCTCATGTAAAACTTCTTAAAGTGAAAAGTGTAGATGTAAGACCTCTACTTATCTATCTCTGGATTTTAGTTCATCTCATGAAAATGCTCTTGATGAAGCTACTGACAACCCCACCTGCCACATGCGATGGCTATTATTCATTCAATTCTTGGCTTAATCAAACTCTCTGTTGCATTAGTGCTGCTGCTCACTCTTTCTACCTTAAAACTGCAGTTAGTTTCAACTGCCTCAGCATTTCCAATGAGATAAGCTCTCTCACATTTGAGCCTTTCCCATGAAGTCTTCTCCCAACTTCTACTCATCTTTCGGATAGCTTAGACAGCACACACAAGATGTTCTATGATTCTTCCAAATCCAAATTAACTCCCTGTTTTATACTTCCCAATTGTAGTGCTACTTATCACAGTTTGTTATTCTCACTCATCTCCACTTTCTATAAAATCCTCTCTAATGTAAACGCTTGAAGGGCTTGTAACACATCTGTCCGGCACTTTATTGGCATAATCCACTATGTCACCTGACCCTTCTATAAATACACCTCAAAAAAATAATCACAGATGCTGCCCTGGCCTGTTTGGCTCAGCTGGTTGGGCGTCATCCTGCAAACCAAATGGTCACCAGTTTGATTCCCTGTCAGGACATGTGCCTGGGTTGTGGGTTTGGTCCCCAGTCAGGGCACATGCAAGAGGCAACTGATCAATGTTTCTCTCTCACATTGATGTTTCTCTCCCTCTCTTCTTCCCTTCCTTCCCCTATCTCTAAAAATAAATAAATAAAATCTTAAACAAAATCACAGGTGCAATCTAACACTGAGCTTTACAGATGTTCATCATGGCATATATGCAGTAACAAATTCTGTGTTTCCTTTATTCCAAGACACATTTTGGCTTGTAAATATTCCTGAAATTAGGATAGATCTTTAACTCCAAAGCATGCTGAATGTGTAATTTTTCCAAAAAGCTCTTGAGTAAACAGCAGATCTTACACCCAACAGTTATTAAGTAAACCTGCTCGAAACAACCTGACTGTTCAACAGTAGGGGGTGCTATACAATGAACTATCACATAATCATTAAAAAAATCAAATTTCTAGGAATATTAATAATAGGGTGTTCCCGATACAATAATAAATGAAAAAGCAAGATACAATGCTGTATATATAATATTCTAACTTCGTAAAAAAGTGTGAACATGCACACACGCACACACACGCACCCCCAGGATCCATGCAAAGGGAAAACCCCACCAAATAAACGTTAACATCTCATGATTTTGGCCTTATGGGTGGTTTTAAAGTTTACCTTCTCACTTTCCAATGTTTAAACACTTTGAATAGTATGTTTTATTTTATATTTAACTGTTTAAAAAATGCCTCAGGCCTTGACTCTGTATTAAAATGGGAAGGCTGCTTCTTTTGTTTCTCACTAAATAATTTACACGTGCCTTTGGCCTCAGGCTTCTACATCATCTCATTTCAGTCTGCTAGGGGAACACAAATAATAACAATAGTAGCAAGAAAGGCAGCAGTGGCCTCTTTTAAAATAGTTTTTTGTTTTGTTTTATTTTAAAGGCTATGGACAGGTTTGTATCAGGGGGAAAATGTGCAAAGAGAGATCTAGTGATAGATCTCTGAAGTGGAATCCTGGGATGTGTCCCTAAAGCAAAGAGAGGGTCAATAAAAGACTGTGAAAAGGATTATCAAGAAAACTGGGGAAACAGAAAAGACCCAGAAACACCACAGTAAGACACTGACAAAGGTTTCTTGCTTGGCCAATCTACAATCAGCCCCCTGAACCTTCTCCTAGACCCGCCTGTGCACATTCTTGTAAAACCCAGTTTTAGTTACGAACCCTGCTGAGTCAGTTCAGAAGAGACCCCCACCCTCAGGAGACAGGAGCTCTCCCATCTGATCCGGTCCCTCGTCCCTCCCCGGCCCCAGGTGACGCAGAACCACCCTGGCCTGCCTTCAGCAAGAGTTCTGTTAGGTCAGTTTAGTCAGGTTCTCCTTGACCCCTAACGTTTCCACTTAGTGATTGCCCATCCACTGACTTCCACTCTGCTCCTTGGCTATAGATTCCTCCTTGGCCATCATACATTTGGAGTTGAGTCCAACCTCTCTTCCCCACTGCAGACCCCACCGTGGTGGTCCCCATCACTACGGCCCGTCATCTTCAACAAGTGTCACGAATGTTTTAACAGCTCTGAAGCAGAATATAAACATCAGGTGATAAAGCTGCATAGTAACTAAAGGGGGAGAGTAAAATATAAATAACAAAAAAATGTATAAGACCTGGGTATAGATTTTTGACCTGGAGGCCTTGGAAATAGCCTGGGAACAAAAATTAAGAAGTAAGTGTAACATAGTAAAATTTGTTCAGGGTTTTAAAAAATTAGGGCTACTGGGTAGAGTAGTAAATAAGTAGTAAATAAGTAGTAAAAATCTGAAATAGAATATAAACACCAGCTAAAGAATTTACATAATAAAAAGAAGAATATAAAGGGCAGAGCATTTATTTGCCTTGGCAGACAAAGTGAAAAAGACTTTAGGCAAAGAAAAGGATAAATATTAACTTAGATAATATAACTAGCATCTTACTATTCACTCTGTGGGACAAAATGCCCTATTTAATTTGATTGTCAAAACAATACCAGGTAAACGAGTGCCCTGGCTGGGTGGCTCGGTTGGAACGTCATCCCATACACCAAAAAGTTGTGGGTTCGATCCCCAGTCAGGGTGTGTAAGGGAGGTAACTGATCAATGTTTCTCTCTCCCCTCCCTTCTCTCTCTCTAAAATCAGTGGGCATGCCCTCAGGTGACAATTAAGAAAATAAAATAAAATGCTAACTATGTTACATAAAAACTTTTAAAAACCCCACACAAGTAAATGAGCACCTGCTTAAGAAAATTACTATGAAGTGCACACATTTCTGGTCTGATTAAATAATTCTTGGGTTGGCCAAAAAGTCTGTTTAGTTTTTTCCCAATAAAATAAGACATATTTTTCACTTTTACCAATAACTTTATTGATTTGGATATTTTGACTGTGTCAGCTATCTCCTGTGTGACCTAACAGTGATTGTTCTCAATTAACATTTCAATGTAATCACTGTCAACTTCAACTGGTTTATCTGGCCATGGAGCATCATCCCTTGAGAAATCTCCAGCATGAAACTTTGCAAACCACTTCTGACATGTTTGATCAGTCACGGCACCTTCTGTATATACTGTACAAATCTTTTTTTGTGCTTCAGTTGCATTTTTACCTTTCTTGAAGTAATAAAGCATAATATGCCAAAAATGTTGCTTATTTTATTCCATTTTAAATATTACAATGGCTACACAAAAACTCATCGATTTTGATGTCTTTTTAAAATGCACACTGATATATGACAGTTGTCACAATACAGTCTAACAAACTTGTTTCAAATGAAGTTAAAGACAGCCAAGCACTACTAGAGTCATCTTACAGAAAAAACCAAATGAACTTTTTGGCCAATGCAATAATTTATTCTTTGCATTATCAAACTTCATTTATTTTTTTAGAGAAGAAAGGGGAGGGAGAAGGAGAGGTAGAGAAACATCAATTGGTTGCCTCTCCCATGCCTGCAACTGGGGACCTGGCCCACAACCTAGGCATGTGCCCTTTACAGGGAATTGAACAGATGATCAGTCTACTGAGCCACACCAGCCAGGGCTAAACCCCATTTACCAAGCATAGTTTTACCAAAGATGATCATGTTTGCTGAATCACTAAAGACTGCTTAGTAACTTCTGCCTCGTAGGCAGCATATTAAATTCAAACAGTGAGTCAACCATTTATATGGGCATGGTTATAAATCCCTTTAATATACAATTATTTCTGAGGTCTTTTTTCTTTCATACTACAAAAAATATAATGCTTAGGCTCTGTGTGTAAATGGGAAACCTTGAGATTATACATAAGATTAAAAGCAAGAAAACGAGCAGTAAGACTTAAACTTTAAGATTAAATTTAAATGCTCCTGAGCATTCCCTACTTCCCTTCCCTGCTTGATTTTTCATCACGAATCTTATCACTGTCTGATAGGTTACTTATTTTACACATTGAGCTTCTTTGTTTTTTTTCCTCCTACTTAGAAGCAGGGATTTTTGTTGTTTTGTTTATTACTAGGCTTTCAGTGAACTAGACTGTGCCTTACATTTAGAAGGGAATCCATAAATATTTGCCAAATAAATGAATGAGCAATCTAATGCTATCAAAAAGAAATAAACACCATTACAATTAATAGCCTACCTGTTTCACAGTGATCCAAACAGGATATTTTACAAATACAAGAAAAAGAGAATGAACCATTGATGATGGAAAACTCTCATCCACTTCTGAGAAATAGCACATTGCTTCTAGTATCTGACCGGGAAAGTCTGAACCCCAACAGTCAATATAATAAGTTCAGTGTTTATCAAAGCAGGGACAGCTCTTCAGTGGAGGGTGAAACCTTGCCAATTAACCGTACACATTGCTGTTTCTTTTCTTTCAAAGTCTAGTATTTTTCACGATAAATCTCCACCCCATACAATCTCAAGTCACAAAAACTGAAAAATTTCATCACTGTTTAATTAAAAGCACCTTGGGAAAGTACCCAAAATTCTGCAACATACAGTTCAGCAGATTATTTGAAAGGTCAAAACATCATACTCTAAGGCCACCTTTCAAAAATCTTCATATTAGTTATTTGGTTTGGGCCACTTAGGTCAAAGGGCACAATTCCGCCTTTTCTCATTGCTGTCAATGACTCTATGCTTGCCTTCTGAGAACTCTGGCAGCTCAGTGCCACTTCTATCCTGTGTATCCCGTCTGTCCTTCAGTCTCCCAAGCCCACTACTTTGCTGCTACGTTACTATTTTGCCACAGCATGGCTTCTTTTCTCCTCCTCCTGACTCTCTTAGGATCAAAGACATAGAATGTTACTTTCAGATGAGAAGAGAGGAAGGTGATTTCCAACTTGTCCGAAGTTCCTAAGTTGGTTAGGAGTTAAGAATGAACTAAATTCCAGAACTGCTGATTTCCCATTCAAAACAAAGCTCTTTGTAACTTACTGCCTTCCCCACTGATAACCTTTTTTGCATCTTTTCTTGTAAAACCCTTTTTTTTAATCACACATTTGTTAACAAAACACTTGTATTGGCCAAAAATCAAGGAGTCCCCTAAACCTAAATAACTGTTTTCATTTCTAATTATATTCAGATATCTTCTGAATGGAATCATCTTTCATAAAGAATAATAGGGTTGGGGGACTTCCGCCAAGATAGAGGCATAGGTGGAGACGCTGTGCTTCCTCACACAACCAAGTTTAGAGACAACAAAATATTAACAATAGAAAACACAGTCAGAACACAGAAAATTGAACTTTTTGGAAGTCTGATAACAACAAATTCTTCAGCCTGACAGGTAAGAGGGGCGAAGCCAGCAGCTGGTGGAGCGGAGTTGCACAGGAAAACTCAGTCAGACGGACTCAGGCTCACGGATCCCAGGTGTGGGGTTGCAACGGGCGGACCCAGCGAGGGCGCAGGGCAGCAGGTTGACTGTGGTGGCGCATTCCTGCGCAGATACAACAGCGAGGGAGTGGGCAGTGAGACAGGACGGAGCAGGCTCCAGCGGCAGGAGGCAGCAGAGGGGGATGCCATTTCCCCGCTCTGACCCCGCCCCCACATACAGCGTCACAACCCAGTGACCTGGATGGCCCCGCCCTGGTGAACAACTAAGGCTCCGCTCCTCATACTTAACGGGTGTGAACAGACCAAAAATGGCTCAAGAAGATCTCAAAGCCCCAGAGCCCGTAACTCTAAGCAATGAAGAAATAGCCAAACTTTCAGATGCGCAGTTCAAAACACTGGTGATTAGGATGCTCACAGAACTGGTTGATTTTAGTCACAAATTAGAGGAACATATGAAGGCTAAACTAATTGAAATGAATGGAATTGCACAGGAAACCAATAGTGATGAAAAGGAAACTGGGACTCAAATCAAGGGAGTGGACCAGAAGGAAGGAAAAAATGACCAAACAGAAAAATATGAAGGAACAAGAATTCAAAAAAATGAGGAGAGGCTTAGGAACCTCCAGGACATCTTTAAACGCTCCAACATCCGAATTATAGGGGTACCAGAAGGGGGAAAGGAACAGCCACCAGTGAAAAACTTATTTGAACAAATAATAAAGGAGAACTTCCCCAATCTGGCAAAGCACATAGACTTCTAGGAAATCCAGGAAGCTCAGAGAGTCCCAAAGAAGTTGGACCCAAGAAGAAACACACCAAGGCACATCATCATTACATTAGCCAAGATTAAAATGAAGGAGAGAATCCTAGAAGCAGCAAGAGCTAAGGGGACAGTCCCCTAAAAAGGAGTTCCCATCAGACTGTCAGCGGATTTCTCAAAAGAGACCTTACAGGCAAGAAGGGGCTGGAAAGAAGTATTCCAAGTCATGAAAACCAAAGACCTACAACCAAGATTACTCCATCCAGCAAAGCTTTCATTTAGAATGGAAGGGCAGATAAAGTGCTTCTCAGATAAGATCAAATTCAAGGAGTTCATCATCACCAAGCCCTTATTATATGAAATGTTAAAGGGACTTATCTAAGAAAAAGAAGATAATATGAACAGTGAAAGGACAGCAACCTCACAGTTATTAACAACCTAAAACAAAAGCAAACTCAAAGGACAGCTAGATCAGGAGCGGAACCATAGAAATGAAGATCACATGGAGGGTTAGCAACAGGGGAGTGGGAGGAGGAGAAGGGGGAGAAGGTACAGAAAATAACTAGCACAGACAGTAGGTAGAAAATAGATAGGGGGAGGGCAAGAATAGTAGGCAAATATAGAATCCAAAGAACTTGAGACACATGGGTCATAAACTAAAGGGGGGGAATGGTGGGGGTGGGGGGTGCATCGTGGAGGGGAATGGAGGGGGGAATAGAACACCTGTAATGGCATAGTCAATAAAATAAAAATAAAAATAAAAGAATAAGAGGGTTTATCTTTATTTTCAGTTATTTTACAATTTTTGCACCAGATACTTAAGAAGTATAAAGATGGTACTGTGAGTTGAATTGTGTCCCCCCAAAACATGTTGCGGTTTTAATCCCAATACCGTGAATGTGACCTTATTTAAAAAGAGGGCCTTTGCAGATATAATCAAGTTATTCCAACATTACTGGTGTCCTTATAAGAAGACAATGTGGACACATACCACAGAGATAAGAGTCATATAAACAGGAATAGAGAGATTGGAATTATGCTCCTGGAAGCCAAGGAATGCCTAGGGCTACCAGAAGGAGAAAGAGGCAAGGAAGGGTCCTCTCCCCAGAAGTGTCAAAGGGAGCACGACCTTGCCAATACCTTGATTTTGGATTTTCAGCTTCCAGAACTGGGGTAAAAAAAATTTTTTTAATTTTACTTATTTTAGAGAGAGAAGAAGTGAGGGAGAAAGGCAGGGAAGGAAACATCGATGTCAGTTGCCTCTCATATGTGTCCCACCTGGGGAACCAACCTGCAACCCAGGCACATGCCCTGGCTGGGATTAGAACTGGTGACCTTTGGCTTTACGAGACAACACCCAATCAACCAAGCCACACACCTCGGTCAGGGCAATTTCTGTTTTTGAAGTCATCAAGTTTGAAGTATTTTGTTATGATAGCCCCAGGAAACTAATACAGATAGTGAAATAATACAGATAATGAAAGTACAACTTAAAAAATATTTATTTATTTTAAGAGAGAGGGGAAGGGAAAGAGAAAGAGTCGGAAAGAAACATCAATGTGTGGTTGCACTCACACACCCACTACTGGGGACCTGGCCCATAACCCAGGCATGTGCCCTGACTGGGAATCGAACCAGTGACCCTTTGCTTCACAGGCTCATGTTCAATGCACTGACCTACATCGGCCAGGCCAAAAGTACAACTTTTTAAATTCCATTAGGCAGTATCAATATTATATTTAAATACAGTCATTGAAAGTAAGGCTATTTCTAAGTGCACGGTACCTAAAAAAAAAAAAAACTCCAGTCTTTGAATTTTTTTTACACAATCAAATCAAAAGCCAAATAGAGAGTCAATCCATATCTCAAATGAATTAATTTGAATTTTTTTCTTCGAAAAAAGTAATCAGATTGGTACAACGTCTACTGGCCAAGCACCCCTCCATCAGAGCTGCAGAGCACCGCACCCTCATTCATCCCTCAGCCAACCACTCAAGTCAAGAATGTACTTACTTGTTATTCGTTGGTCCTGTTGCCAGAACATCGGACTGTAACTTTGGAAAGAACCCTTGCTCGTATTTGCCTTGGCCAATTTTCATATCAAGTAGATGTGGGTGGATTGCAGTGTGATCCATTTTCATCAGCCGCTGCTCAATTGACTGGGCTATAAATTAAATTTGTAACAAATTATAAACATTTCACTGGCTAAGCCTTAAAAAATAATGCTTCCTCTACTCATGCACCAACAAGGAATTCAATCTTTCTGACACTCTGAAATGGATTTTCACTAAGGCTCTTTAGAGATCAGTATAATGTAAGTACAAAAAGGTGAATTTTAGGCAAATACCAAATAATTACTTTTCACAATATTTCTGCCTTTATCAAAAGCAGGGCAGTGGGGTTGAAAAATCTATAATTTAGTATTAAAACAGTTTCCCATAAGTTGGAAACTCAATATTCTTAATGAAAATGTGTTTCTAAGAACAATAGTATAGAATATGATGGCAAATATTTCCTATGAGCTGAAAGACAGGTGAAGAGAAGAGAAAAGCAAGCACAGAAATCTTAAACATATTAACTTTATTTCTTTGTACAAAGACCCCTTAAGTATTTGTAGTTCTTCTTGCAAAAACAAAGAATTTATAAAACAAGAAATTGTGTGAAGTTTGTTACTTTTAGTAATTGTTTTAGTTATTATAGTCTAGTTAGTAGGAGTTATTTAGGAGTGTTTATTAGATCAAGAGAGATAATGCAGAGAAAAATAAAATAAGCAGGCATTTAGCAAATGTCTAGAGGATAAGAAACTGACCTTTTAAAGAATAAAATAGTACAAAGTTAAAAGACAGGAATTACTCAACATCCCTATTTTTAAATCACTGAAAGTTAGAGGATGTGGCAAAACCCCAAGAAATAGTGAATTATGTCTTTGGTAAAAAAAAAAAAATCTGATGTTGAATGTCACTATTAACTGAATTTTCAAGAGGAAACTGAGACTATTTGAGACCAAAAACAGGAGAACAAGAGTGACTGCAGCCGTGTGATACAGAACACACAGGGGGGGGGGGGGGGGGGACTGCTGATCTTGTGAGTTCAGAGAAGTAAAAAAGCATTTTTATAAATATTTCATCGAATTAGTTTCTTTTGCCTCTCTGAACACCAGCAGATTGAGTACTGCTAGTAATTCCCCAAACATGGACTAAAAGAATTGGGGGGGGGAGGGTCCTGTCCATAACACAACCTACTCTTGTCAAAAGAACATGCTCAATACCACCTCGTGTGGGATCAGCTCTTCACCCGAAGCAGCAGCCAGTGTCTGACGCTAACAGTGCGAGGGAAGCTTTGAGCAAGTCGTAATTACCCTCTGTGACTTAAACTTCTGAGTGCTAAATTGTTCTAATTCTTCTTTATAGGAATTTATTCAAAACTTCCTGAATTTCATTTTATTTTTAACGTGTAACTTGTTACCTTCTATTGAAACATAATCCATTATGTTCTATGCTGGGGCAAAGGGTGCCATGTTTTAATGTGAAATTATATTTTAACAATGCCCTATGGCTCTCCAAAGCCCCATCTACGCTCTCAATGCTTCCTAATATTTATAAAGCACAATTAACAGATGGTTTAGGCAAAATAATGCTTAGATTCATGGCATGGAATTTTCTGAAGTTCCTGCCAATTTTATGTTCCGTGAAATACTACTAAATTCCATCTCTATCAATTTGTGCCTTTGTCCTCATGAAAGGAAAATAGGAAAAGTAGCTTCAGTTTTTCCATTGGATTTAAAATGATAGAGAAATCCATCTGATATTGAATTATTCTCCTTTAGTTCGGAAGCTGTTTGAAAACAAAAACATAATTCACAATGACTTGCTCTTGGGTTTACAGTTAAAACTGCCACAGGGAACTTAATACAATGTTCCTTTTCAGTGACACGCCACCAGCGAATGCCGAACATTCAGAGATTATTAAATGCCTGCTTTGAGAGGCCATGGGCCTGTTGTTATACTTTTAAGGGCTGGTGCCAACATTCATTTCTGTGATTGGTAAGGGAAAAGAAAACTCTGCATTACTATCAACTTGTTGCCTTTCTGCACAGAAATCATGAGGTTCTGGGGCCGCAATATCAACAGCAGACAGCCTCTGCCTAAAGAGGTCACCTGTAAATCAAAATTCTTTTCAGTTACGGGGGAGAAAAAGTCCAAAAGCAAAACAACAAAAGACAAAAACAATACACAATAAAAATCCACTGTTCACAACAAAACCCCAACCTCTATAGCTATTGCTGGGGGTGGAGACGATTTCACCGTACAGTAGAAATAACCACACCCTTTCTGAGGGACGGCCGGTGACAGCCATCTGCCTCCTTTTACTTTTTAAAAAGTCTGATAAGTTCCTGGGAGACTGCTTACTGCTTTAGCTGAATCTCATGTGTGTTAAAACTCTAATGGTACACTTTCTAGAGTATTACATAATCTCTATCATGATAGTGGGAATACCAAGTTCTCTGAGAGGCTGAAAGAAACTCTATTTAACTGTAAGAATTTTCTGGAAGCACACACAGGAGTCAGTGCTGAGCTCCACTAAAAGATGTGTCAGGAAGGAGGAATGACACTGGCTTAGCAAGGCACTGTCCTATTCACGTGGCCGTCAGGGCACCGAGCGCCCTGTTACATATACTCTGACAGGTAGAGGCAATTTCTTTCTTTTTAAGGATTTTATTTATTTTTAGAGAGAGGGGAAGGGAGGGAGAAAGAGAGGGAGAGAAACATCAATGTGTGGTTGCCTTTCACATGGCCGTCACTGGGGACCTGGCCTGCAACCCAGGTGCGTGCCCTGACTAGGAATCAAACTAGCGACTGTTTGGTTCACAGGCCGTGCTCAATCCACTGAGCCACACCAGCCAGGGTGGCAGAGGCGATTTCATTCATTCTCCTCTCTCACTCTCCCAGAGACACTGGGACGACCACCACTTCCTGAAAGGCTCCCAGGACCTGCCCTCAGGACATAAAACAACAGGACCATGTTCCAACTAGTGACCAGAGAGACCAGGAAGGCTACATAAATGACATTATTTACATACTTCTTTCCTTAAATATACTACAACTACAGCAGCACAACTCCTGTGACTTTGATCTGCTTACATAAAGTGAGAAAGGCAAGCAACAGAGGCAGAGCAATTTGCTGTTTCCTTTTTCTTCAGAGGAAATACTGCTTTCAAATAGCTCTTACATTTGAACGGGAAGAAATCAAAGTGGAGGGCACTCAGGTGGTAAATATCAGTTTGTTTGGCAAAGAAAGAGTTGGGAACCGGGTATGAATGCATAAAATTGTGCAAATTGGTACATTGTACACGTCTACTGAATGCACAGGTAACATCACAGTCAGGCTTCAGGGGCTAGAAACAGCCACACCTGTCTTCACATCACAGCTCCACCAGTCACTAGCTACCCAATCACAAGTAAGCTGCGTGACTGCTCAGTTTTCCTCAACTGTAAAATGACAGCTACAAAACAAAAGTAAATGTGCCTACACCCCCTTTATCATTAAGAGCAAATGCAAAAAGGCATGTAAAACCTGTCGTATGCTCGTGCAGCACAGAGTAAATACCCAGTGAACACTATTACTAACATGACTGTTTAGTTAGTGGACCTACTAGAGCACACTGCCCGACGAGAATGGCCAAAACTCATGATTATTGGAGGGAAACTGGTGTCCGGGCTGGGAAGTCTCTAATTTGAATACAAGAATCCAGAGACTTAATTTCAATAGATAGAGCTATTATAACTAATAGTACCACTAAACAAATAAATATACGGTCACAGCTATATAAATGAGGCAGCATCTCAGATTTACTATTTTAAATCAATACTTACCCTTCCCTGGATAAAGAGAAAAAAGGCTAGAAGTAAAAAGGCAACATAAGCAGGAAGACAGAAAAGAACCTTTTTTTTTTTTTTTTTTTCCATTTAAGGCAATAAAGAGAGTAAGACACAAACCATAGCAACCTTGTAGTTACACTCATTCAATTTGTTACAGCTTTTCCTCTTCTATGAGAACAGGAATGTCAAGTAGGAATGGGATGGGCATGAACTCACAGAAGCAGGACGAAAAACTAAAGAAAGTACTATTTCTGCCTATAAAGTACAAGGATTAACCATAAAGTGGCAATTTTGTGGCTCGTAAGGTCAACAATGTGTAAAAAATAATCATGAATTTTTAGTTAATTGGAAAACGCATGGCAAATGTACCTGCTTCTTTTAAAGTGCTGCATTTCTGATATATCGACGTCCTCAAGGTGGGCGCCCTTACATTGTACAGTCTGATCTTCTCAATCCGAGAGTCAAAGACTCGAAGCAAAGGCTCTTTCTCCTCCCACTGAGACATAATTTTATTATCAATGAAGGTGGCAAACATCTGTGTTTCAATGAAGCGTGACAGAAAGGGTAGGTATGGCTCAGGCTGGTCAGAGAGAAAGGAAGCCTGTAATGAGATTAATCAGAACATTATTAGTGCAAGAAAACTCACCTCAACACTAAATGATGCATCTGGAAGTTACGTTGCCAAGGTCTTTCTTTTTTTTTTTAACCGTATAACACACAAGACTGACACAATTCAAAAATGTTTAAAAATGCCCTTTTCCCTACTTTCTTCTACATTCATGGAATTTGGGTCACCTAGTTCTTTAGCACTGATCCTCCCTTTTAAAACTGATTTACATTCTGATCCTCATGACCACTACGTAGAGAGAACAACATCAGTAATGAAAGTTGGTGGATCAGTTGCTGCAGGACTGTCACTCCTCTTCACTCACCATTAAATTTGACCCATTCCCCAGTGAGCTGTATTCTCTTCTGCTCTATTTCTAGCCTATGCAATATACCTCTAAGTCTTAAGGCAGTGAGGTGGTTTAGATACAATAATGATATATACATACATATATACATATATAATAACCTTAAACTAACACAACACGGAGTTTGTCTTTATGGGTGAAATCCTTTTATTCTTCTTCAAGAGGATGTCTCTCTAGGCACCAACGCCGAGCTTGATGGGTGAGTGTTAATTCAAGATCAAACTCCTTCCAGACCTCTGCGGACAGAGTAGTCTGGGCCTGAACAACTATAAAAAGCACTGCCTGAAAAACCATCCGAGGCAAGCCAGGTCTCTGGAAAATGTGTACAACACATTCATATTACCAGTTTGTCTGCTGCAGAGAAAGATTTGGTAGATTGTAGTCAGTTTTTAATTCAAAATGTTCGTGTGTATGTGTGTGTGTTCTTCAGGTCTATGTGTCTAGCAATTGTAGCTGCAGTTTGGTACTGGCTGAAATTTGGAGGTGAATTACTATTTCAGCTGCTGGGTTGGTTTGGCTTTTCATTCTTTAGAGCAGATGCAGAAGGCGAAAGGGAAAGATGGAAGGGTAAGTTCTGACATGAGGTTACTCTCCTTAACACTTAGCAGCTTCTTCCTGGCATGATTTCCATTCTGAAACTTAGGAAGCCTTTTAAAAACTCCCTTACAGAAACCCACTTACTCAAGTTAAGCACTTCCACAGTTCAGATGTGTTTACACAACTCCAAATAGCCAGAAAAAGGTTCACAGTAGTCTCTAGAAATCAGTTCACCTCTTTAAAGGGCATTTTACAGATAAACATGAAGCTACTTTTTATAGAGCAAAAAGCTTTTTTTTTCTAAATGGGCCAAATGCCTCACTTTTGATATTCAGACCCTCAGGGACTACAAGTTTAAGGTCAGCAAAAACTTGGCTTGCAGAACTGGTATGTGATAAACTTGTAAATTTTCCTGGTGAAAAATTAGATGATTACAAGCCTTTTGGAATCCAACACAAAACTTTCATTTTCTCAGGGGGTTATATAAAAAGATTTCCATTTACAGTTTGAAGCTGCATAAAGATTAAAGAGGAAGAAAGCACCAGTGCTCAATTTAGATAAGCATTTCAATTGCCCCAAGGATAAATCATGAGAGTACACAGTAGTTCCAAGCTGAATAGGAAAAAAATGTGGAAAAATGGTCAAGCTTAATGAGAAAGGAACCTAAGAGCTTGAATACATTTGAAGAATTGAAGGCTTCTGAATGTATTAAAGTTTTCTCAAACATAACGTGCAGCAGAACTTAACTGTTCAACATAGTTTATATCCTCAACCTGAAAAATATATCTGATAAAATCAGATAATAATCTTTTATACTACCCACTTTGACAGAATGTTGTAATTAACATTTACTGTCAGCTGCTCCAAGATTGTAGATGAGGCCCCATAACAAATTAACCCCTTTAAAAGGTCTTTAACAACAGCAACACTTTTAGTGAAAAGCCGTAATTCATTGTGATAGCGATAGTCACGCCTCAGCCACCACAGAGGCAGGGAACTGATTGTACCCTGGTGACCTGAAAGAGTTAACGCCCATTCCCCTAAGTGATTTTGTCTGGAGGGGAAATCTGTGATAGAGATGCCAAGAAAAACTGGTAGAAGAATCCTCTATAGTAAACCTTTGAAGCTTCAATGTCAGCAGGACAATCAAAAGCTGGCACTATTTTCTTATCTTCCTTTCCCCCAAACTGGAACAGAACCTTAGGCTTATAGTCATAAAACCTTACTCATTCATCTCTCTTTTGATCCTAGAATGAGATAAAAATTTGGCTTCTGAAACTAAACTGTTTTTTACCTTTACATGAGCAATTTCATTATATTTGAAGACAAATATAAAAACAGGATTAGAAAGAAATAGACCTTATTTAACTAGATCCTTAAAATAAGAGTAAATGAAACTTTTACAAGGTCAGATGGTATTAAAAGATTAAAAAAACCCGTGAAATTGAAGCTTCTCTAATTTAAAAATTTTCAAAGTATATAAATTTAAAAATGTGATGATAGGCAATTTAATACACAATTCAATGGCTGGCTTATGAGCCTGCTGGTTTGCTTTCCTGTGAGGTTGTTCTATCTAGTGTAAAATACTGGCAAAGTTCTGAATGGAAGGGAAAGGGGGGGATCTGTGTTTTAGAAAGGTTAACAAGGTCAGGTGACATGGCTCACTAAGAGCCACAAAAAAGGGAAACTACGGCTCTTTTTACTTTGTCAAAGTTCTGCATCTGCTCTCGGTTGGTGAGCCAGGACTCCAAGTCCTGGGCGCTCTGAATCACGAACGCTTCATAGTCTGCAAACATCTGTGTGAAGCGGTTAGCAAACACCTCTCGGAGCTGTACGTTGAGCTGGTAGTCCCTCAGTTCTGCCTCTTCGCACTGCAGTTTCAAATCCTTTTCTTTTTCACCCAGAGAGGCAGAGAGGTCCATTTTTTCCACAGTCACACCGGTCCTCTTGGCCAGAGCCTGGAGGCGGGCTATGGTTTCATTGCCCTTCAGTAACTCATACATGCTGATGTTATTCGCGGAGACGTTGCCATTCTTCTTGTCATTGACCAAGTCTTTCAGGACCAGATTCTTCAGTTTGGTGGCACTGTCACTGCAATGTAAGTTGCCCTCAGGAGGGATCCCAAACTGAAGGAGAACTTCAGAAAGTTCCTGGATAAAATCCACTTTATTGGGGAACTGTGGAAATTCCTCAGGCAACTCAATGAAATGGTTGTCAATATCCACAAAACACAAATTAGCCTGAAAGAGAAAAAAAGAGATATGAAGGTTTTAAAATGAAGGAATTTTAAGCTCTAAAATGTTTTTGCCAGCTATTATAAACAAAATCACAAACTACACAGCATTTTGTTAATCTTCTGAAGGTTAAGAATTTTTTATTCTTTAGAAATAAACCTCTGTTGCCAGCAGTATTCCCTACATGACTATTTTATAGCATATTTAATACAAGCGAATAGTTTTCTCTGGGTTTCATCAACTTATAATAATTGAGACATGCTTCTGTTATATCATGTATCAATCATGGCAGCCACTAGGCATTCCTAAATGAGGGAAGGTGCGCGGACTGGTCGCCCCCTACAAATCAAAGGCACTGGGTGAATCACTGGAAGAGCCTGAACTTTCCATTCCACTGCTCTAACACCATTTGCAATAAGCAATAACAACCGCTAAAATCTAGCAGCTACAGTAATCCCCCAGAAATGGGATGAAATTGGCAAAGAGCAATCCGGTTCACAGAAAATTCACAAATTTTTACTTCATCTAAAATCTGCTTCAACCTCTTGGGCAACAAAACCACTGCAGATATTGTTACGACACAGAGCAGGGGGCGGAGGAAGGTGGAGAGGCGGTGCTTAGAGAGCCACAAATACCTAACCCTTGATAATTAAGAGTTGGCTCAGGGGAGATTTCTGAGTAGAGGAAAAGAGGAAACAGAATGAGAGGAAAAAAATTTTTTTAACTTTGCTTATACTGTAGATTTTGAATAAAAAAGATTTTAAAGTATTTTTGAAGTAGACATGGAAAATTCAAGGGGCCAAGCACCTGTCTAAAATTCTGATTACCTCTCAGGTACTTGATTATATCAGACTCCAAAACAGTACTTCACTCTTACTGTTCGGACCCTCTTAATCTGAACAAGGCTGTCAGGATAAAGGAAGGCTGCCCCTAGACTGGAGGGTGAGGTGTGCAAGGGTGAAGCCCTCGCAGGAAAACTGCATTGCACTAGGGACTGAACACAGAGCATGGGGTGGAAGTCAGCGAACAGAACAGGAAGCTTCACCTTGTGTTTGCCCACCTCGCCCCCCACTCTGGGCCCTACACCCCAACCCTACCTTCCTGGTGAGTAAGTGGAGAATTCACAATGTTCTCTGACCCCGAAGCCAAAGAAAGGTGAAAAGAAGAAAGCAAACACAGCTGGATCTCTGTTTTTCTCTTCATGTTAGATAGTGATGAGCACGAGGTAAATCAAAGTTCCAAATCAACTTCAATAAAAACTCAGGCATTCCACCATCCCAAAACAGAGAACAACAATGATTTCTTCAAGGGCTGGTATAACCTTTGATTCCAGCCCATTAATTCTGCAGACGAAGGAAGTGAAGCCCAAGAAGGTAGGTGACTCCCTGACACCTGTCTCAGACATGCATCCTCAAAGAGCGTGGTGGCTCAAGGGGATTTTTCTCCTGCAGTTTTCCTCTTCTCCAATGTCAATAGTTTTCTTTAAATAAAAAGCTGAAGTCACAACTTGCTGAAGACACAGTGTGCTGCCTATAGCTTTCTTTAAATCCACATCTTTAGATATGTTTCTATAGTCTCTAGAGAGCAGCACATATTAAAAAGCTTAAGGGGGAGAAAGTAGGTCACCATAATTCAAATGGATGATTTAATATCTTTAAAAATGAAAGAGAAAAAATCCACTAAGTTGCTAATTTAAATGGTAACTGGCAACTTCCCACCACTTACATTTTGTACGGTCTCCTTCATTAGTGCCTTCCTGCACTAATGAAGCCCAGTTTGGGGCTTTGATTATCACAAAGGTGAAAGAGGAAATATGAACTGGTGTTATAAAAATTTATGGAAGAAAAACCAAAAAGTTATTTTCTAAAACAAGTAAGAACTTCATGCAATAGAGTATTCTGGTAAGTCACTTTCTCACTTAACACTTAAAATTTAAATCTATGAGAACAGCTCAAGAAGTATTAATACACAATGAAAAACATACTTGACATCTCAACCACAGGTTGTTTTAAGACTAAGTATTTCCGTACTGTTACTGATCAACAATGCTCGGAAACTTTCATAACATGTACTACTTCCAATGAAAAGCAACAAACATTCCCTCAAAAGGGAACAAACTTGAAACTCAATCATCTCCTGCCATGAGGCCTTCCCACGTCCCTATCCTAAAGGCACTCTCATTTCCTCTGTATGTATTGTTAGTTCATTCACGCGTTACTACCTTGAAGTTTTAGCCTGTGTTACTGATAACTGGTAAATGATTTATTTTGAAAAGTGGAATCACTGCTCACTGATCTTGATGTCTCTCAACATATCCTACACTAGTAGTGTATGAGGCAACTATTTGCTGAAAGAATGGACACGGCTCAAAGACACGTTTCCATTTTGAGGAAACATACAGTGCAAGCAGGAGGGGAAGTGTACAGGGCTGTGAGGCCCGGGCAGCTCTTCCCCTGCTGAGTAAAAAATCTGGCTTCCCCATGGCACACGTGACGCGGGCATAAGGGTAAGCCAGAAGAACGCATTTAAAACATTCTCACAGAATTTCAGGGCAAGATATGGCAAAACCAGAAAGGCAAAACCAATTCCTCAGTTTTCTCTAGAAACTGAGATTTTTTGGGTCGACCATTTACTCTAAAGATGAGCAGGAATGGTAGAAAGTGGGGTGTCGTACTATGCAATTATTCCTCAGTGCTATAACCTTCCACATCACTAACTCCACCCCCCTGAAAAAAACAATACAACAAATGGCTACCTGCGCCTATCATTTGGGAATCATGGGGCAAATGAGTGGGTGGTTAATTATAAGCCTACACAGTTACATTAGTCAGCTAACAACTAAAATCATACCTTCCTAAAATAATCATTTCGTAAACATCATTTTCACAACTATTCTAAGAAGCCCTGTAACTACTTTAGCTATTATTTTATTTTACAGTTTTCAGACAAAGGGGTGGTGGTGTTGTTACTAGTTGAGTGTATTTATGTCACTTTTTAAAATGGCTATTTTTATACCTACTTCCTCAAAATTATGTGAAGTCAGTTATTTCATCTCATTATCAAATGATACCAGAGCAAAGTGATACACTCTTCTTCTAAAAGTCATGTACCAATTTATACTTTCTATACAGAAGCACTGCTGTTCTCACAGATGATTCAAGTAACCTCGTATTACTCTACTTAATGAATAAGAAGATGGGTAGGTATATTTATTAAATATTATTGACCTCATGAATAAAAATTAGAAAATCACAGACATTACTGTAATAACTCATGGAATTGTAAAGTCTGTTTTCTTTGGAGTCAGAGAACACACGCATACACAGAAACAGAAAGATTTCCTGACTCCAGAAAGATGGTATTTTTAAAATCCTCAACACGTACTACTCAGGCAAAATTGAAAGATATTTGTATATCTAAATAAAGAATCCTGTAACATATCTGATTAACACACAAATAGACCAGATAATCAAAAAATTAAAACATGTCACTGTGTAAGTCTTTAAAACAAAACGCATTTGGCTACTTTATTTCTTTTTCCTTGAAAATTTAAAGGACCCATGTCATTGCACCAACAAGATAACTTAACAGAGAAAATAAAAAGTGTTCAGGTAACAGAAAAAAAGAGGTGTAACAGGGAAGCAAAAGCACAGAACATGCACACACTCAAAAAAGACCGAGACAGTCAGTACATGTATTTTATACAATCTGAATCAAGCTATTTCCCCCAGAACAAAAATGTTACTTTTGGCAGGAAAATGTTCATTAGAAATGACTACAGGAATCATTACTGGGTATAATAGCTGCAGCTTAGTGTGTTACTTTAAATTCACTTATTAAAATTAGACTGGGGGGAGTGAAGAACAACATAAAGATTGTATTAAGAAAGGTGTTAATTAAACAGCTAATAATATAACGTAATTAACCATTTTATGTTTTTAATAGGCTATGGCAGTCTCAGCAATATTTCATTTTAAAGACTTAACACTGTAATTCTGAGTACCATGAACAACAGCTAGAAACCAGATTCAAAATGCTTTCAAGGATTCCTATTTTCTTCTTAAACAAGACTTGAAAATACAATGCACAGAAGGCACAGTAAACTGAAGATGACCTAAAAGTTGGGGGTTAGAATTTTTACCTCTACTTTCTAGACAAGTTTACATTTAGAAAAAGTTGGTAACTAGCCTTATGCCTGAAAACGAAGAATACTAAATATCCCTAGCTTGCTGAAAGATGTCACTTTTTATTTGATGGAGGTCAAGAATCAAGTTCACCTCAATTAATTAAAGGACCTATGTCTTTGAACCAACAAGATGACTTAGATTAATTTAATAAAAGAGAAAACAAAGAGTGTTCAGGTAACAGCAAAAAAGAGATATAACAGGGAGGCAAAATCATAATACAATCCTTTTAAAGGATGTTAAAATTGGGCTGCTTCATTTAAGAAACAAAATTTATAATGTGAATGGGGAAAAAGAAACAAAATGTTATTGAATAATAAAGCAACTAGATAACGCCAATATTATCCCATCTTCAAGGATCCAATATTCAAGGAGTCAGGGCCTGCATCCTACGGGTCAGTGATGCCCTGGACCTCCTTGGAGATTCAGAACAGGGAGACCCAGTGTGGACAACGACAATTCTGTCTAAGGAACGTACCCTTGACCTAAATCAACAAACAGCAAATGTTTCATCATTTATTATAACTTTTACCTCTTGAGGAAGTTCTAGTTTAGAACGGTCAGTTCCTTCTTTTGACTGAAGGCCCATCAGATAAGGGACAGGAGCATCAAGAAAATGTAGCAGAGAAGCAGGGAGGATGGGCACATAAACATGCTGCCACTGAAATGGGAACAAGAGTGTGGTGATGCCTTCCGCCACAGTCATCAGGCGTTGGTAATCTGCACAGAACAGGGAAAAATGGAGGGGAAGATTCCAAGTAAAAACATAGTCACTGCATTGAGCTTGAAAATATCAATTTCCAAAAAATTCTCGTGCTAATCAATCAAATTTTTCTGTATGACCCTACAGAAAATGGGTCACTTCTATCCCACCATAATTAAAGAGTTCCATGGTTTTGTTTGAATGCTTTTAAGAAGGTGTGGGTAGGTGGGAAACACCATCATACTCCGCTTCTGAAATCACTGGTATGTGAATTTGCATTCCTTTCAAATATGGAGGAAACAAGAAGTAATCAAATTGCTCTTCATACTTCTCCCTTTAACAATGTACTAGAATTTTGCTACTGATCACTTCCTTATTTGACTCATTATTAAGACTTAAATCTTAAATGAAAATCCATTTACAGGAATACTTCTAAAAATCAAATATCAGATGGCCTTAGGTGTGGGGTCAGTCATGTGAACTCATGAAGTTCTCCCATTAACAATATACCAGAATATCTTCACACTTCTCCCATTAACAATGTACCAGAATATCGCTACTGATCACTTTTTGTATACATGTATACCTATACAATTCCCAAATTCAGGGACTTTTTTTGTTGTATATATGATTTTCCTGATTATATCTGCATTAGCCTTCATTTCATCAGTGTAAGAAACCAACAGATATATGCTTTCAGAGTCACTTTTCCTTTCTATATTAACCCCCAACTACAGAACTATCTACTCTGGGGACAAGGTGAAAGTTACCAGACAATTAAAGGGTTTTTTTAAAATTGTTTTATTTACATGAACTGATTTATCAAAACTAAAAACTGTCTACAATATTGAAGTGCCCCCTTCCCCTCAGTTTTGAGACACAGCTGACATATAACACTGTATGAGTTTTATGTGTATATGATGATTAGATTTATGTGTGCATGCATACACTGTAAAATAATTACCACAATAGGTTTAGTTAGTCTCTATCACCTCACCTAATTACAAATACACTATCCTCTTAAGCCTCTCTGCCCCAGACGCCTTACACATATGGTGTATGAAAACACACGCAACTCCTTGGAGGCAGATGTGTTACAGAATTCAGACCGTTTTTGGTTTTGATTAAGAAAGGTCACACTGTGCATACAGCACACACATGAATCTAGGGCAAGCGCCCTGTAATCTAACACACCAATATTTCTGCAGCGAACTGTAAGAGTGTCCCAAGTAGGGCAGGTAACTAAAGATTAAATAGGTTCACTTTGGTTCAGGTGTGGTTTTGCCACTAAATGAGTTACAAAAAAGAATGTTTGGTTTTCAGGACTTTTTTTTTTTGTATTTGAGAATTGAAGGGACAGGATATTTGTAGTTGTAGTAATCTCTCATGGAATTCATTAGGCACAAAAACAGTAAATCTGGGGGAGTAACACTTTGGAGAGTCTTCTTAAAAAGGCTAAGCATTCATTTGAAACATCATCATACTCTGCTTCTGAAATCACTGGTATGTGAATTTGCATTCCCTTTAAATGTGCAGGAAGCAAGAAGTAATACAATTGCTCTTCACACTTCTCCCATTAAAAATGTACTAGAATTTTGCTACTGATCACTTCCTTATTTGACTCATTATTAAGACTTAAATCTTAAATGAAAATCCGTTTACAGGAATATTTCTAAAAATCAAATATCAGATGGCCTTAGGTGTGCGGTCAGTCATGTGAACTCATGAAGTTGACCAGATTGCCTGAAGTGGTGATGCAAGAACACAGCAGACAGACAGACACAGATGGACACACTACATCAGCTGAGGCTCAGAAGAACCTGGGCTGCTACCCTGCGAAGGTGGGGTGTTGGAAGGGTGGTCAAAGGAGATCAGACAATTAGCTACCTATGTCTCTCCTAGTACTCAGGCTGATGTCTGAGCTTCGGAGACAAGGGTCCTCCATCACAGGTGTGGGGTTAAGGTTGGGGGGCTGATGTGAAACCTCTGAAAGCTGTTGAATGTTCTAGGTTTAGAAACTGTGGTACAGTCAGAACTAACTTCAACCCCCTCTGGCAGTCACTCCACAGGCTTTTTCCTCCACTGTGGACTCCCTATGAGCAGAGCAGTATCTCCTAAAATTTTTTTAAAAAGTACTTTTCTGCCCTGGCTGGTGTGGCTCAGTAGATTGCCACTACAAAGCAGAGGGTTGCTGGTTCAATTTCCAGTCAAGGCACATGCCCGGGTTGCGGGACCAGTTCCCCAGCGTGGGGAGCACAAGAGGCAACCACACATTGTTACTCTCCTCTCTTTCTCCCTCCCTGCCCCTCTGTCTAAAAATAAATAAATAAAATCTTTAAAAAAATTCCTTTTCCATTACAGTTGACATTCAAAATTCTATTAGTTTCAGGTGTACAGCATAGTGGTTAGACATTTCCACAACTTAAGTGATCCCCCCAATATGTCTAGTACCCACCTGACACCACAGTTATACATTTCCTGTGCTGTAATTTACATACCGTAACTATTTTGTAACTGTCAATTTGTACTTCTTAATCCCTTCCCCTTTTCACCCAGCCTCCCCAACCTGCTCTCCAGTCTGTCTTCTGTATCTATGAGTCTATGTATCAGAGTATCTATATTTTGTCTGTTTGTTTCTATTCTTTAGATTCCACATATAAGTGAAATCATATGGTATTGTCTTACTCTGCCTAATTTCCTCAGCATAATACCCTCTAGGTCCATCCATGATGTCACAAATTGGTAAGACTTCATGCTTTTTTTATGGCAGAAAAACATTCCATACACACACACACACATACACACACACACAACTTCTTTACCAACTGTCTACTGAGGGACACTTGGGTTGCTTCCATATCTTGGCTATTTTAAATAAAGCTGCAAAACATACAGGATGCATATATATTTTCAAATTTCTTCAGACAAATATCCAGAAGTAGGACTGCTGGATATGGTAGTTTTGTACATTTTTTGAGTAAACCTCCATTTTATGGAGGTTTTTTTATGTAAACCTCCATACTCTTTTCCACAGTGGCTGCACCAATGGACACTCCCACCAGCAGTGCAGGAGGGTTCTCCGCACGCTTGCACACACTGTTTGCTGATCTTTTGTTACGGCCATTCTGACAAGTATGAGATGGTATCTCGGTGCGGTTTTTATTTGCATTTTGCAGAGTGGTGTTTTTTAATCTCGTTTTGCCTATAAAGCATAGAGCCTAGTTCATAGCCATGGCTGACCAAAATTTACTGACACCTCTGAATGTAACATTCTTCTCTCCTCACTGAAAAAGAGAGACACACACACACACACACAGGACTAGAAAGGTATATAGATAAGTAACTATAAAAAGGCCAAATACGGGGAAAGTCCTTAATATTCTCTTATGTGGATATCCACTTCAATCAATCCTTGTAACCACAGCACTCAGTGCAGTATATGACATACAACAGATGCTCAAAAATATTTTTGAATAAATAAGCTTATTTACTCATTTAAGACTGTGTGTTTTTGCTGGTTATACACAACTTAAATACACTTGATTAGATTTTGTCCACATGAGATTAAAGAACCACTAATTTTTCAATAGGAGAAAATGGTAATTCCTCACTCAAGGGACTATCCACTCAAAAATCACCTTCCCTGAATATTCATATATTCAATTATGTGCATGCCCAGACACAGTATAAAGGAAATTCAAACATTCATTCACTAAGCTGCGGATATTATTTATTATACAGAGAATCTTTACTAAGTGACTCATTCTAACTATGTATAAGTGGACTTTACAGGGATCAGGACTATTGTTTAGAAACAATGAACACATTATAACATTTTTCTTCCTGCATAAAAAACTGTAAAGATTTTAAAGGCGAAAGACAATGCAGGCTTCCTAAGGCCCTTCAGAGTGGGAAAGGCTCTCAGGAAGCTTCCACGGCTTTCTGGAAGTGACAAGAGGATGAAAACGCAACTGTCTCCGCATCAGGGACACAGAGTTCACGCATCACTCCTGAAGTGTGAGACCAGGCTCAGTGGAGAGTGAGAGAAAGGAACACATAACTCTGTACTCACTCCATGTAGGTATTTTATGATGTGACTGTATTCAGAAAGTACAGTATGTCCTGTATAGACAGACTATCATAAAAATAACCTGACCATTCTTATCTACACTCACTAACTTTTAAAAATTAGTAGTATTACTTTGGGTTTCTATTGAGTTTTGTTGTCATAAAAATAGTTATATAAATAAACTATTATCAGGTTTTTTGGGGGGTACTGTTAACGAAAGATTAGTATTCTATGACAATCACTTACTTCCTTAATAAAAGGTTAGTGTTTGTGACTCAGCTAGCTTCTTTAAAAAAAAAACCAACACAACATAAAATCTACGTTTCAAGAAAAAATTATATTTTTTACAATAATAAACGTGAGGAACAAACTACGTAATAATCCTTAAATAATTTAAAGTAGGGGAACAGTCATATTCCACCTTACCTACCTCAAACTTTTGAATACCTTACTTATTTTTTTTAAGGAAAAGGAGTGAGAATATTTTTTTAAGATACTTAGTTTTCTAGTCAAGCCGGCAGCACAGGTAAATGTGGTACTTGCATTCTCTCACAACCACACTGAAATTACAACTAAACTACAGAATAACCGTCATTCAGAACTGCCTGAAATAGGGACGAATGAAAGTCCTCCAACCAGGGATTTAAAGAAGCCACATCAAGACCGGTAGAAGGGGTGGAGATGCAGAAGGGGATGGTCCCAAACTCACTGTGTGCAGGATAAAAATGGGGAAGGATATCTCAGCTGCGGAAAGTCCCCTCTGGTGACCACAGGTTCCCAGCCCCACACTAGGCCTCCCGGCCCAGGGTTCCAGTGCCACAAAGTCCCTATAACTGCTGGCTGTAAAAACTAGCAGGAATTGTAGATGAGCAAGGAAGGCTCATGGAGTCCCAGGCAGTTCCTCATAAAGGGCCCATCCATGGAGTTACAGACTCATTCTTTCTGAGC